GTGTAGTTTTCCCCCCCCCCCCCTCCCCCAAAAAAAAAAAAAAAAAAATCTTTCACAGAAATATTTATTTCTTTTCAAGTCTGGTGTTTCATTTAAAAACAACACAGGGCAATATATTTTGTGGGCTAGATTATAAATGTAGTTCTAGTACTGAGAGGAGCCAGAGGAGACACTGCGCGGCTCTGAGGCACATCTCCGTGGGCACATTGTCTGCCTAGGAAAGTAAAATCTGTTTGCACCTGACAGCTGCTCTAACCGTTCCCTCTAGCTGTCCTAAATTTATCAGAGAGTTTGTATAATATACTAGTTCCCTATTGATACTATTTTCAAGCCTTTAAAATATATCTGATGTCAAAGATCAAAGATTTTTGCAGTGGGGAGGACATCGGAATTATTTCTTTTGGATGGGGATCAGTAAGGACTAAATCCATTAACACAAAAAACCACACACACACATATACACAAAGATTTTAAAATACCTTTCCTCAAATAGAGAGATAGTATTTGCAGGGAATCTCTTCCTCAGGAGCAAAATGAAATTCACGTTTGGGAAATCATATCTGTTCAAGTTATAAATTTCTCTTCACTATTTTTAGGTTTTACAATCCAGCCTTTCTGGTAGCTTTATTTTGCATTATCACTATTCCTCATATCAGCATTTGTCCTATTTTTGCTCATCTTCTTCCTCCTCTTCCCTTGACAACGCTGAGTGCAATAGCTCTGCCTGGTGGTGGCTTGTCTTCTAAATACATCTCCAACTTGATTAGTAAAGAGTCTGAACGTCTAGACAATTAGTCTGTCACTTTTTTCTAGAGTTTTGAAGACAAAACCAGACTTTTTACATCAGGTTTGGATCTAAAGATTCAGAACTCCTTTAATCTTTTTGGGGGATACTCTTGACAATAACCATAATTTTTTTTTCATACAATGAATAGCTGATTATTTCACTTTAAAATATTCTGTTGCCTTCATAGGTACTTATGCTAGAGTAATATCTTTCTATATTTATATGTACCTATAAGTTATATTGTACGTAATCCTAAGGAAATCACTTTTCATGTTTTCTAATGAAATCAGTGATGATTGATCACTATCCAGATCTGGATCACTATGATCACTAAAAGATCTTATGAATAGAGATATTTCAGGATTCTTTTCAGTTCATTTTATAAATTCCTTTGGAATTTTTTTAATACTGAGTTTTTTCTGGTTTTTTTCTTCCTCCTTCTCAAGAAAGCCTGTTTTATTACATGTTCTGATTTTTTTTTCTGTGTCATTAACAGCTTTTGTGTTTGTATATTGATGGTGTTGTTAATGCAGTGCATTTATTATAGTGATTTTTTTTTCCTCTCAGCCTCATAAATCTAATAGTGATGGCCTACTTAGGATGGACTAATTTAAATAAGTCATTTGGCTTCCTGACTGATTTTTAACTATGACTTAAATTAGCACACAGGGGACCTTAATGTTTGCAGTTACTCAATTACAGTCTTATCTTGTATTTTGAACTTTAGTTCTTTTCCTAAACAAATGTTGATTTTCATTGACCGGTTACTATTAAAACTTTCTGGCTTGCAACAAAATAACTCTTTAATATTAAACCTAGTACTTCTTGCTATGCAAGAAGAATGATGTGTTCCTACTAGCTGAAGACTCCTGTGGCTTGGGTCAAGTTCTGTAGAGGACAATAGTGGAATAAAATTATAATGAAGTAAAATGTAATCTAAGAGTATATTTAGTTAAATCATAGAATCATGCAATGGTTTGGGTTGGAAGGGACCTTTAAAGTTCATCTAGTCCACCCCTCCTGCAATGAACAGGGACATCTTCAACTGGATCTGGTTGTTCAGAATGTTTCCGGGGATGGGGCATCTGCCACCTCTCTGGACAACCTGTTCCAGTGTCTCACCATGCTCATCACAAAAAATTTCTTCCTTCTATCCAGTCTGAATCTACCCTCTGTAAAACCATTACCCCTTGTCCCGTCACAGCTGGCCCCACTAAAAAGTCTGTCCCCGTCTTTCTTATAAGCCACTCTTAAGTACTGAAAGGCCACAATCAGGTCTCCCTGGAACCTTCTCTTCTGCAGGCTGAACAACCCCAACTCTCTCAGCGTATCCCTGTAGGAGAGGTGTTCCAGCCCCCTGATCATCTTGTGGCTTCCTCTGGACCCACTCAAGCAGGTCTATGTCTTTCTTATGCTGGAAGCCCCAGAGCTGAACACAGTATTCCATGTGGGGTCTCAGCAGAGCAGAGGAGCAGAATCACCTCCTTCGATGTGCTGGCCACACTTTTTTTGATGCAGCTGAGGGTACAACTGGTTTTCTTGTCTGCAAGCACACGTTGCCAGCTCATATTCAGTTTTTCATCCACCAGTACCCCCAAGTCCTTCTCCTTAGGGCTGCTCTCAATCCCTTCATCCCCCAGCAGCTATAGATACCAGGGGTTGCCCTGACCCAGGTGCAGGACCTTGCACTTGGCCTTGTTGAACCTCATGAGGTTCACATGGGCCCACTTCTTGAGCTTGTCCAGGTCCCTCTGGATGACATCCCATTCTTCAGGCATGTCAACCACACCACTCGGCTTGGTGTCCTCTGAAAACTTGCTGAGGGTGTGCTCAATCCCACTGTCTGTGTCATTGATGAAGATACTAAACTACACTGGTCCCAGTACAGACCCTTGAGGGTCACCACTTGACACTGATCTCCACCTGGACACTAAGCTGTTGACCACTACCGTATAGATGTGATCATCCAACCAATTCCTCATCCACAGAACAGTCCATCCATCAAATCCATCTCTCTCCAATTTAGAGAGAAGGATGTTGTGGGGAACTGTGTCAAAGGCCTTACAGAAATCCAGATAGATGACATCCATGGCTCTTCCCTTGTCCTTTGATGTAGTCACTCCATCGTAGAAGGCCATTAGGTTGTTCAGGCGGGACTTGCCCTTGGTGGAGCTATGCTGGCTGTCACGAATCACCCCCCTGTCCTCCATCTGACTTAGCGTAGTTTCTAGGAAGATCTGTTCCATGATCTTTCCAGGCACAGAGGTGAGGCTGACAGGTCGGTAGCTCCTATGATCCTTTTTAAAAATGGGTGCAATGTTTCCCTTTTTGCAGTCACCAGGGAGTTAACCTGACTGCTATGACTTTTCAAATATCGTGAAGAATGGCTTGGCAACTACATCAGCCAATTCCCTCAGGACTCTGGGATACATCTCATCAGGTCCCATAGACTTATGGAAGTTCAGGTTCCTCAGGTAGTCTCAAACCTGATCTTCCCTTACAGTGGGAGGGACTTTGCTCCCCCAGTCCCTGTCCTGTGATCCATCCACTCGAGAGGTGGGGCTAGAGATTGCTAGTGAAGACTGAGGTGAAAAAGTTGTTGAGTACCTCAGCCTTCTTGTCTGTTGTTACCAGTTTGCCAGTCATGTTTGTCAGGGGGGGTACACTTTCTTTGGCCTTCCTTTTCTGGCTGACATACCTATGGAAGCCCCTTATTCTCTGCATCCCTTGTGAAGTTCAGCTCCAGCCATGCCATGGCCTTCCAGACCCCATCCCTACACAACCAGGCAGCATCCCTACACTCTTCCCAGGATACTTGTCCTTGCTTCCACTGCCTGTGCATTTCCTTCTTGCCCTTTAGTTTGAGCAGCAGGTCTCAACTTGGCCATGCCAGTCTCTTGCTGTCCTTCCCTGATTTCTTACGCCTGGGGATCAAGAGCTCTCACATTTTATGGAAAGCATCCTTAAAGATCTGCCAGCTCTGTTCTGCTCCCTTGTCCCTGAGGGCAGCTTCTCCGTGGGTCCTATTGACCAGCTCCTTGAAGAGCTGGAGTTTTGCTTTCCTGAAATGCAAGGTCCTGACTTTACTCTTCACCTGACCCATATCCCTCAGGACTGCAAACTCCACCAACGCATGATCACTGCAGCCCAGGCTGCCTTCCAGTCTTGACATCACCAATTAGCTCACTTGCATTGGTGACCATCGTGTCCAGTATCACAACCCCTCTGGTAGGACTGCCTATTACCTGACTTAAGAAGTTACTCTCAATACACTCCAGGAGTCTCCTGGATTGCCTACAGCTCATTGTGCTACTTTTCCTGTGGGTTCTGGGATGGTTGAAGCCCCTAGTCAATATGTACTGTATAAATACTAACCTTACTTATTTAAAAGAAAGTATTGTTGTCTGCCTTCTAATATTTGAGAGTTACTAGATCTTCATCTTCTTGAGCCTCATTTAGATGCACAGATTAGAAAAAGTAAATGTTTCCTGCTTTTCTTCAGGTCCTGGTTGATTTCTTAGCTTTGAGTGAGCCAGTGAATTAATTGCATTAGTACTATAAACGTAAGTAAAGAGATTCTGTGCATCTGCAGAAGACTATACAACAGTTAAGAGCAGGTTTCGCACTTCAACAAGCTGCAGTTCTTGGTTCTTAGCCAAAGAATTGTGCTGAGATAGTGGTTGATTTTTGTCAGTAAACAGGAGTGGTTAAATTTTGTCAGTAAACAGCACTACTTTAAAATTCAGTTTATAAAGAGCTTTGTATGTTCTAGTAAGTTCAGTTTGTAAAATAGGTTGCCGTCATTCTTAAATTCTGTATTCTTGATAAATTTGGTTTTATGTTGTTTTAAATTTAGCATGAGCATATTCAAATATTTAAAAGAGCACCCTAAAACTGAAAATCTACATCTACAGCGCTGTAGAAGGCAAGTTTGTTTGCAGGCTGTTTGTTATGCAAAAAGATGACACCATTTGCACCTTTGCTTCTGCCAGCTTGATATTGTGCCTTCTGGTTTACCATGCATTCGTTTAGTGTGTGAAGTGAGAGTTACAGAAATACTTTAAGATCTTAACATTAAGAAATGAAGCAGACCCATGTCAACAGTTATTTTTAATTTTACTTTTTTACATTTTGCTGGCAACTTGGGAATAAGCCACAATTTTTCATACAGAAGAGAAGTGTAGGTTTCTTAAAAAACATTCTTTGTTCCCGAGAGTCTTGAGTGCTGCCTCGTGACTGCATGCAGCTGTGCTGTGAGAACTAGTGACAACACAGGGTCTTTTCTGTGAAAAGTGGAGTTGGTGCATGTATTTCTAAAGGAGTGATTTAGCTCGTTACAGAAGTTCACTGACGAGCAGTAAACTTCAACTGAAGTCAGAGAATCTACTTTTGTATCAACATGAAGTTTTGATTTCATCAGGACCAAGCACAAGACCTTTCAGCTTACTACCTTTGACAAACAAAGAGCGGACATTCTCTCCAGTCTGGAGTATATAAATGTTTGTCAATTGTCATCAGCCAGGCTCCTTAGTTTATACACTTTTCTGCACTTCTGAACTCAGTGACAGCTCAGTGAGATTACTTGGAGCAGTTACTTCACCTTCTGTGCTTCAGCTGCAATTTCTGCTTGAAAAATGAATTAAATGCCAATATCAATTTTTTAATTCTTTTTTTAACATGAATGCAGTATGTCTCTAAGGTATTCCATTTCCATTCTGAATTAATAATAGATGTTCAAAATGAAACATCAAGGCAATACTGGTTTCGTGTGAGACTGTGTTTGGGTTTTTGTAGATTGTCTGTTTCTAACTGGGTTGCTAAAACCAAATGGGAAAATTCACAGTTGAGGTTTTAGCATATTTTTATACTTGCTTTGTATTTAGATAGCCATGTTGACTTAAGAACTAGAAAATCATTCCTGGGGAAAAGATGATTACTGAACAAAAAAGGTACAACTAAAGCTTTTTATCTCTACAGAATCACAGAATGGTTGAGGTTGGAAGGGACCTTTGGAGGTCATCTTGCCCAACCTCCCTACTCAAGCAGGGCCATCTAAAGCAGGTTGTCCAGAACCACGCCCACACAACTTTTGAAGATCTCCAAGGATGGAGACTCCGCAACATTCCTGGGCAACCTGTGCCAGTGCTCAGTCACCCTCACAGTAAAAAAAGTGTTTCCTGATGTTCAGAGGGAACCTTCTGCATTCATTTATGCCCATTGCCTGTGGTCCACTGGGCACCACAGGAAAAAGGCTGGCTCTGTCTTCCTATGCTCTTCCTTCAGATAGTTATATACCTTGATGAGATCCCCCCTGAGCCTTCTCTTCTCCAGGCTGAGCAGTCCCAGCTCTCTCAGCCTTTCCTCACAGGAGAGGTGCTTAATCACCTTCGTGGCCCTTTGCTGGACTCGTGCCAGCTCTATAAGGTTAGAGTTTTAGATGCAGGAACAGAAATAACAGTTTAAATCCATTCCAATCTATTTCATGCGCTCTTGATTTGTCTTCCAGCAATTCATGGAGAATAGCAGCATAACTGCTTGTTACAATGAACTGGTTCAAATAGAACATGGGGAAGTGCGATCTCAGTTCAAATTACGGTATGTAGAAGTGTAAGATACTGCAAACATCAACCACTTGGTCTACGTAATTGTATCAGGTTACTTTCTGCTTCTTCCCAGCTACACATATATGTGCTTTGCATCTGTATGTTAACTAATATACTTATTTCCTTCTTCTGTTATTTTGTAAAGGACAAAAGTAATTGCCTTAGTAACTGGTAACCTGAGAAAGCTTGGTCTGTGTATGTTTCATTCACTGGTGGTTTAAATGATGGCTTTCCTTAATGCAAAAAGCAGTACATGTCCTTTATTCTGATGCTTGCTTGTGTCTCATATGTCATGAGGTGCCCATATTGAATTTGGCAACGTTCTAGCAGCCATTACTACCAGCATTCCAGTCAGGGCAAGATCCTTCAGCTTGTTTAATTGCAAGGGTAGCATTTTAAAAATGCTATCTTGTGTTTAAAGTTTATGGGCTGCAAATTTACGTGATGGCAAAACTTCACAAAGTCATTCTTGTTCTTGTATGTGTGAGATTTCATATTTGATATCTTGAGCTGAAAGCAATCTTGATCTGGCCCTTCATACCAAGAGATTTTATTTTCTTGCTTGGGCAGAACTTGGTGGACAGGTTTTTATCTTAGTGAGAAATTAAATTACTTTCATTCCTTTATTATTTCTTCTTTAATGTGACTAATTTCATATTTAATACAGGTCATTATATATGCATGTAAATATGTTTGAAATAAAAGTATGTGGAAAAAAAAAAAAGCCCTTGAAGTTGAGTGTCAGGCAGAGAAGGTGTAGTTCCCTGGGTGTCATAAATAAATTCCAGTTCCATCTACAGAAAAAACTAACACTTTTCCACGGGTTTCAGTGTTTAAGAAGCAGATTTTTCTAAGATTTTCTTTGCAAACCAATCCCAAAGTGACTTCATGTTCAAGTGACTATGTGTTTGTGCTGGCAGAATGCAATTGCAGCAAAATTTTCAGGGGAAAATAAAACCAACAGAAATTGGGCTCACACAATTTTTAACAGGTGTTTTCCAAAACTTGGCAGGAAAATAAAGCAGCTGTGAAATTTTAGAAGTTAATTAGGTGTTACGGTGGTCCTGACTTGGGTTGTTGTTCAGTTGTAGATGCAACATGAAGTGAGTGGCTTCTGAATTAAATCAGCATAGATCAGAAACATCAGTTTTATACAGAAATATTAAGCTGTCATTCATACACACAATTCTTGTAGCTTATGTTTCATTTCAAGAACAAGTTGCAAATGCAGTTTGAGCATCTCTACATGAGTAGTATCAGTTATGAATGCAGATCATTAAAACTCCAACACAGTGAGCATGATTCATATTGGCTACCATATTTTCCTGCAAGTTTATTTGTAGCCATCACCAAAAAAATCTTAAAATTCATTAAAATTGGAAGGAAGCAATGTCAGTCCCCAGTGGGATCTCATCCACTGGCAGTTCTTTCATTCATATTGTTTGTGGAAACAGCAGTATACACCCACTTGTAATTCTGCTTGCTTTTGCTCACTTGAATATAGTTACATAAACTGTGAGCCTACTTCCTTTTAATTTATGTAAATTACAATATTATATAAAATGTATTTTATGTTATCATGTCTTTTATATATTGATAATACACATTATATACATTTATGTGTGCAAATATATGTTCACATCACCTCTGAACAGGACTGTTTTGGGAACCTTTGGCAGCATCGCAAAATAGTATGAAAAACAATGGCAGTATTTTGGGGTTTGCTACTGCTTCTGCCAGATGCAGTCCCAGAACAGTTCCGTTGTTTAAAGAGTTTAATAGATGTAGGCCCAGGATAGTTAAATAGTTAACTACTCCTTGTCATGTAACAAGCACAAGTAATGCTTATAAGCAACATTTGCACTAACATCTGGGAGCACAAAGCAGCCTTTCAAAAGATAAACTTCCTGAAAAAGCATATTTGTAACTTGGAGAAGCTGATGTCTTGCAACAGAGGATCTCCCCCTACCTCTGCCTGATTAGGCAGGTGCTCTAAATTAATCTGTCATTTAAAACTAAGCAGAACTAGTGTTTCGTAATGCTATTTGGTTATAATTTGCTTTCATCCATGTGGTTTAACGAAGCAGGGAAAAAAGAGTTGCACTGTATGTCTATCCCACTGGGTCTCAAATCTGTTTGCTGTCTCAGTAGGTCTTCTATACAGCTTTGTACAAGTGAAAGAAAAAAAAATATTTTCAGAAAGTTAGTCAAGGGAATTAAAACCAGGATGTTTCAGGTATTCAGATACCAGAGAAACATGGTGACAAAGTAGGACCAGCCCAAGAAAGCAGTATATTATGTCATGTCAGTGGTCAGAAGCGTCTTTCCATTCCAAGTGGGGACTCTGCTTCTCTGTGTAGCTGCTTCTGATTTGAAGCTGTGTTGGACGTCTGTGGGAGGTGTGTATTAATCTAAGAGGATATGTGGACCATTTAAACCTGTAATGGTGCTGGCTTGCTTGCCAGATCAAATGCAAAAAAGTAAGTTTTGAAAAGTGCAAATATAGATATGTGTTTTCTTGCAAGAAAATGTATGTAAGACATTTGTTAGCATCTGATATACCAGATGGGTATCTGTCACTGAGATAAATCAGTTGTTTCACACAGCACAAAATCACACTTTGAAGCTGTCTTGGACTTCTAGAAAATCACTTGTAAAATTACATTGGGAGCTCCTTTTATTGTATGAGCTGAAATACTGCTGTTGTCTTCCATATACAATGCTGTTTCCTACAAATCTTCACCCACTTGGCTGTGTGTCTACATCTCTGTGTATTTCTCTTTGTGTATCCTATTTGTTACTTGGTACTTCCGTGATGAGCAGAACTAGCAATATCCTGTATTTCCTAATTCTTTACTGATTGGTATTAATTCAAACCCCACTATGCAGTCTGGGAGCAAGATGTTCCTTTTAGGTAGTAACTGTATACAAGAATGTTTATGCATGGTGCATTTATGTTCCCTGCAATGAGAGGTACATAGAAGATAATTAGTTTGTGTTTAGTCCAAATCAAAGATGAAGTACTGACATCTATCAAAGCAAGTATGCCTGTGCTGTTTCTTTTAGTATGCACTCTCTATATATCTATATATATATTCTTGTCTTTCTAATATTAGGAGCCTATATTCATGTTAATCACATCCTGGGTAAATTATAATTTAAGCAACTTAAATTTTGTAGCAAGAAGGTAAAACTTCTGTTTTCCTGCACTAGTTCAGGCATAGCCCTGAAAATAATGGGAAACAAAAATCATTTTGGTCCTTAAAAAAGATCAGGATATATGGAAATCAAGTCACTGAATTATTATTTGGAAGTAGGAAAAACGATATTTTTCTGACTAGGACTTTGAGATAGCTTAAATTGTTTCCTTTAATTACATTGTATTACCACTTCTTTGGTAGTGCCAATCTATTTGCTCTATTGAAAACTTTGTATACTTCTGCTGGGGTGATTTCTGTGTTCCCTATCTTTAATGATCACAAAATTTTCTATTCTGATGTAACAGCCATTTGTTATTTTTACTGCTAATTGTTAGTTCATGCTGTCTAGAGCATGTTTGGAGGAAGACGTATACTGTTAAGATGTTGCAGTGCCCATGAACAACTTTACAATGTGATCTGCAGTAAAACCACATTAACAGTATGGATGGCTGAAGCTGAATTTCCTGAAAAAAGTCATAATGGAGATGGTGACATAGTTTAGTCAAAACAACATGCTACTTTGTGATTCATCTACTGATAAGTACGATATAATAATGTATTTATAGTGAGCAAAATGTTCTAATGATAAAACTAATGTGACTCATTTGCTAATTTCAGGGCTTGTAATGCAGTGTTTATGGCATTAGACCATTGTCAGGAAGCTATAGAAATAACCAGTGAAGATCATGTCATTCAGGTAGGGGAAAAAAGTTAACTATTTTGTAGAACTTGGAGAGAGGAACCCCAAAGATATCTTTGCTCTGTAGTTTCTGTTTTATTTCAATATTTTAGGTTTGTTGCCCATTAGAAAGCCCTGTGCAATGAACTGCCTTATTTCTGGATGCTGCACGTGGATGCCTGCTGAATTTTTAAGACTACCCTTCAGTAACTTTATTTAGATGATAATTCTCAGTAATGTCTCTTATGGTAAAACCAGTATGAAATCTGTAGCAGAACTAGATAACCCATACAGTAAAGAGTTTTGTTCTCTTTCTGTGCCTTCTTATAACAGCTTACGTATCGCCTTTTCTGTTCAGCTCCTTACTTGAATAAAATGTTTCACCCTTACATAGTATTTTTATATGAAAAACACTGAATTGTAAGGGATGTGCGGTTATGGCTTTAGATATATAACTTGTCACACTTTGATAGTTATATGCGAGTTATTATCCTTCAAGTATGTTCTTTTTCATATTATCCTAAAGCCCTTCTCTTTTAACAGTATGTCAATCCAGCCTTTGAACGGATGATGGGGTATCACAAGGGAGAGCTTATTGGCAAGGAACTTACTGAACTACCAAAAAGCGATAAAAACTGTGCAGATCTTTTAGACACTATCAACACATTTATTAAAAAAGGAAAGGTAAGCAAATGAAATAAACTCATGCAAAATTGCCTTAGATTTCTACCCTGCTTTACTTTTAATACTCTAGATTTAAGAACACAAGATGTGGTTTTGATGAGTGCACAAATAAGACCAGAATTCGGCTCCTCAGATGTCTTAGGAACACAACAGCCCATGCCTCAGGCAGGGGACCACGGATTTCTTTAGCTTTGCTTTTAGGATCTGACTGAACTTCTCTACCGACCTGTTGGCTTAAGATCAATATAAGAGCATTTTCTGTGTTTCTGTTTTGCTTAAAGCCCATGGAGCTTTTGTTAGTTGGCACATAACAATTTGTCCCTCCATCAGCCTCTCAGGTGGGTCCATCATCCAACCAAAAGGTTTGACTGTTCTGTCATAACTGCAGAGCCTTCATTGACTGCATGCTTTAAGCACTATGCGGTATAATCAGTCGTGACCAAAATATATCAGCACCCAGGGGGGTTTGTTTTTCTAACTGTAGTTAGAATATCTGCAGTGCACTGCAAACCCCTGTCGTGGTGGTGGACAGGCCACAAAAGCACTGTATGTTCATGGTGATATGTTCCCCTAGTACATGCAACGTTCTCTTACCCCTTCTCCCATGGGTTGCAGAAGCACCTCTCACCCTTCCCTGTCTCGCCCTCTGCTTCATGAACTTTGGGGAGTTCTTGAACCTTTGAGTCACCTCCAGCAAACAATCTGAGGTTTAGGGGTCACTGTCTGGAGTTCTTTGCAAGTTCACCTTGGTTTGTTAGCAGTACCTGCAGGCCACTCTTGCTTTGCTCCTCCTCATATATATAGGCTGCCCAGCTGCTAGCAATGCCTGCTGAAAGGCCCTGTGTGTCTTCTGCACCTGTCCATCTTTGTCTGTGGCAGAGGAGGTACCTTCCACCCATTCTCCAGCTTCATCCTAGTCTGCTGCCAAGTACTTCCCTCCTTAAAATCTTTCTTCTTTGAGGTGGTAAGAAGAGAGAAGCCTTCTGCTTTATCTTCCTTTCTTCTCCAGTCCATACCAGAGGATATCTTTTATCTCTGCATCAGTGGACTGCTTAAGGATGGTGCATATATGGCTCTTGGTTAGCCTGCAGTCCTCTTGATGCTCTCCTGTAGCAGTGGGGATGGAGGGAAAGTTAGTGGCTGGTCAGAGAAATGGACATTTGCATGGGAGAACAGGGTAAAAGATGCCATGAAGAAATTGTTTCTTCCTTTTGCTGATCTAAAGTGCCTCAGATATCCATGGCCATGGGAAAATAGGCATGGAGTGAGAATAGGCTGTTGGTTACCTGAGGTTAGTTGAAGGACATGCTTAGGTCAAGGGCTTCTGAAAATTAGCATACATAACACTGTCTGACAGCTTCGAAGCGGAATGGTGCTCAGCACAGGGTTTGGCTCTGCTGCTCCCAAGGGAGATATTCTCTGGATGTGTTGTAGACACCACTGCTGATGGTGGTACCTAGCAAGGATGTTTGTAACTCCTCAAAGTAGATGATTCCTAAAATTCTTTGTAAAAATTTATACTCTCTCACAAGAGAGACATATTTACACTGTCCTTATGTTAGTAAATGCCTATTAAAGGTGCTATTCTGTATTAATAAATTTTACACTATTTAAAAAAAATGCAACCATGAAATAATATGTAATTATTTACTATGTGAGGACTATGTAATAATAAATGAATATTTGACCGCAAGTTAGGTATTCTTAGATGCTGTCTCTGTTGTGTGCATTGTCGTAGGAATGGCAAGGAGTTTACTATGCAAGAAGAAAATCGGGAGACAGTATCCAGCAGCATGTGAAGATAACACCTGTGATTGGTCAAGGAGGGTAACTAACTTGTCCAGAACATAATTGCTTTCTGGTTTTTAAGGCCTTCCCCATCTGTAAGTTTGATATGAACCTCTGTGGTTTTAGTAGCAGGGTGATGATATAACTGCTGACTTCAAGCAAAGTGGAAAGAATAAGCAAAGTTGAGAAGACCACATTCTTCACCTGTCTGTCCATTTTGGTGTCATCACATGGTGGCTAAAAGAACTGTAAAGTCATAACAATTAATAGTATTACTGCTATGGATACCTGCAAGCTGACATTTAGGTCCATGTTACCATGCGTTTCCTTATGAAGTTATTCTACAGTACCCAAAATGGGTGGATCAGCAGCTGGGCGATCCCCTTGGTTGTGTGCATGCTTCTATGTGCTCACACCTTTGTAGTATAGTATGGGCACATTGCCGAATTCTGCTCCCAGATGTGCAGGTGAATTCTTGAAGGAGCAAAAGGACCAGGTGTCCTGGGACAAAAACATAGCCATAAGGCCGAAGGAGTGCTTGACGCCCAGTCGTCTGTTTGGTGTTGGGTTTTGTATCTTGTTTCATGAGGGCGTGGAGACCTCTACTTTAGAAAATAGCAGTGTATCGCATCACTTCTCTCTTCACCATTTGATGTGGTAACAAGTGATTATTTCTGTTGCTAGGAAAATAAGACACTTTGTGTCCCTCAAAAGGCTGCATTGTACCAATGAAAACAACAAACAGGTATTGTATTTATTTCATGTCATAATTTTCATCGCTTTCAGCAAACTGGTATTTTTTTTGTTTAGAAATTGGTATTTTTTCCAAGGGGATGTGATGTGATCTACATTGTCAATGAGATTATCATTGATTGTTGCAGCAAGCAAGGAAGCTTCAGCTTCCTTTTGTAGGACTGCTGTGTAGAGAAAGGCTTTAATTCTCTGGAGCATAGGTGTGACATTTGAGCCCATGATGCTGTGGAGTGACATAGACCATAGTCCAAAGGGAGTTCAGGGGCTTTTTTCTAGAGGGGCTCTTGCCAGTCTGATCTGGTGTGCTTCTGTCTAATAATGACCTATTCTCAGCTGTCACAAGGTTTGCCAACGTGTCCTTCTTGAATAAAGCGTCACACAGGACCCGAGACATTTCACAGTCATCAGAACATGTGTTGTGGAGGGGTGTAATCCAAGCCAGAACTCAAGTAAACCATCAGTAGCAGCTGACCCCGATCTCTGCAGTCTGGTCACATATCTGCCCGAGCAGGTCCTGCAGCAAAGCTGGTGGCGCGGGGAGCTCTTTGTTGTCATCTGCTCCTGGGTCCCTCCCTCTGAAAGTGTCTGAAGCAAATGATTGTATCGCGTGCTTTGCCTCAAAAATACTCTAGTACATGGCCTGTAGAGTAAAGGAGTTTGGGCTTTTGTGAGCAAGGGAGTGAAATCTATCTTTAGCCTGTGGTCTGTAAGGGTGAGATAGAAAATGGGGAGCGTAGGAAGTAAATAGCCACATTTTAGACTGAGGATGTGCTCGGGAAACATGGTATATTTCCATGTTCTTTAGGGGTGGCGTTATGTATCTTGGTTTATTTAGAATTTTAATGTGCTTTTATCCACGATGCAGAGAAAGACGTTTGTGCATAAAAGGTATTTAGAAAGTCACTGCTATTTCTGGTTGCCCCTTCTTCAGCATAACAATACTGAATATTAACACATTATTGGGAAATTTATACTATTGGAAGAAGTTCAGAGGTGGCATTCTGTAAAATTTGACTGTTGAAACCATCCTCGTTGCACAAGATTTTGTGGGGGCAGGTAGTAACAAGGGAGAAATCTGCACAACTTTTGGAAGAACTTTTGGAAAAACAAGGCTCAAAATGTTTTAAACTGACCTTGTCTTTGAACTAAAACATGGATATTAGCAGCGAAGTACAATTTACAGTAGTTTTGTAACAAAAACAGTGCTATAGTTGCATTTATTTTTTTTAATTCATTATTTAAACATCATCATTGTTATTGTTTCATTTATAGCTGCTTTGATGTTGATTTGAAAGTAAGATACAATCTGATTTTTTTCTATAAATACACACAGCTGAAAGACTGGTAGAGGGAAGTGTGGATGTGATACTCTTTGTGCAAGATAATTGGTACAAAACAATTACAAATTTGCAGCTATCTGTAAAAAGCAGTAATAGGAATATAGATAAAAGCCCTTCTCTTTTCTGTTTTTCATTGGTCTGGTCATTGGGCTGCCTAAGCCAGTGATCTTAAGAAACAAATTTTAGTTAGGGACGTGTGTCCAAGACCACATTCATATTCTCTGTACTACTGGCACTGATGGAAAGCACCATCAATTCACATTTTTTAGTATTGGTTCACGAGCAGTTATTGGTAAATCAAGCACTAGCACAACAAGCTATAGTTCTGGGGAGCTTTACACATTTGGTGAGCCCAGGGAATACAGCCTTTGAAGGGTTCTCCACAGATGTAGAGGTCTACCACAAAGGTTAAAGACCACCGCCTTACAGAAAGCACAGCCCGTGAAGATTAAAGGTGCATTCGGGAAAAAGCAAGGTGCACACAACAGATTATAGGATAGATACGGGGAATTATTCTGTTTCATTTCTGCGGTGGAAATCTCTTCAGCCCATATTAGAGCACCAGGTGTTCTTGCATTGCAGGAAAAATTCAAACAGTGACCTGGGATTTTGGGGATTTGGTTTTGGGTTGGCTTTTTTTTTTTTTTTTCATTTTAGATGGTGACATATAGGAATATCTATATTACATCCTTAAGAGTTATTCTTAGACTTATTTCTGTAGCAATACTAATGTGCTGATATCAACCCCTATCACCATTCAGGCACTGCAATTTTCCTAAAATCCATGCCTGAATACTTGCAGCAGTAGAACTTTTCTCTGCCCTAAAAAAATACTAGGTTTCTTTTCACGCCACAGATAATTCTATAATAATGGAAGGATAAAAGGAAATCAAACAAACTATTTAGTTACAGAGCAGTAAAAGCTGTCATGATTCAAATTTTGATGCAAATGTCTGATGTTTCACTGCATCAACATAGTTATAAATGGCTTGATCTCAGAATGCAGGCTTAGAAACATCCTTACATTATTATGTTTCACCTTAAAAAATGTAGATGTGTTCTTTGACGTTGCTGACAGCCTCCATAAAGGATATCACAGGATGATTAGAGATCACTGTGTGGAAACATTCATGGATTTCCGTGCCAGATTTATCACGTACAAAAATTAAGCATGTTAGATTTATACACAGAAAAAAAAAATACATCTGAGAGTGTATAAAGTATTCTTACAGTGAAGATTTATGAATGGGGATTGACTTTCATGTGACTAGTCCCATGTGCTGAAGCCTAGGTAATGATTAATGCTGCCTTTGTCAATTTGAGACCTGGCAGGATAGAGTCCAGTGTTTGCACATTCATAAATTTACAACAGAGGTGGTGTTTCTCCTCTTAAGAACATATCAACCCAAGATTAACTGTGCAATTGCCCTCGTAACTTACCTTATGTGGCTCTTTCAGGTCGTGCCTACAGAAGGGGTAGAAGTATTCAGAACCGAAATGTGGTTTGTTTTACTTTTTTAGCCAAGCGCTTAGAGGACTGTGCCAATGTTTTCTGCTAGTTGTGCAGTAGACAGAGATATATCCATGGGCTCTGAGAGAAGCTCTGGTTTGGGACCAGAACGAGCAGTGCAGATGTCTTGTGTCACTGTACCATATCTGATGAGCTTCCTTGATTTTACTCTGTTTGGACGAGATGATTTCTCTAAGAGTTCCTGCATGATCACAGGAGAGGTGTTTAAGCTTTTAACATCAGTTTTCTGGAGGAAGAGTCGTTCCTTACTCTCCTTCAAACAAGATTCATATGGAGCATGAGTGTAGGGTTTATTCTTCCTTTATTTTTTTTCTTATTATTCATTACAGAAACCCACTCCTGAATTTGGGTTTTTTTTCCTTTCTACCCTCTTCTCTTTCCCTTTTGCCCTCTTCCCTTCCTCCCCTCAATAGCAAAAAGCAAAAAAAAGATGGAAGGCATGCAAGAATGATGCAAAAGAGAATCTGTATTATTCCTTTCCTTTCTTTCCTGAATAATCCCGGTAAGGACCCTGCAGTGTGCACTGTCACAAAATTATATGGACACTAAGAGTGCTTTAGTGCAACCTCACTGTACTCTCCTTTTAACTCACAGGTTGCAACCATGGATTTCATGTGTCCATGCAATCCAGTGCTTTGCTATAGGCAGGTGATGGATTTGGTCAGAGGAGACAGGCACCATAGATTAGATGACAGAACTGAACTCCTAAATACCATGTGTAATGAATAACGTGTAAGCACAATGTCAAGCACTGAAGTTTATTAATCTGAAGTAGAGGGCATGTATACCTTCTCTAGTGAATACAGTAAAAAAAGTAATGCATCTTTCTAGTCCTTTTCAGTGTCTCTGTTAGCTATATCTAAATACATCGTGCTAATTTTATAGGGAAGACTTGAGGAACTGGAAGTTGTGCTCAGTTTTCCTATTAATAGCAAAAAACTTCCTTGTAACCACATAAGGAAGGAACAGGGTGAAATGATTAGCAGATATTAAGCTGTCAAGTATTGAACAGACTGTGCTTTTGTTTCTCAACAGGATGTAAAGGCAGAGGAGTTTTTAATCGGAGTTACTGTAAACCAAGCAATAGGTGTAAACTTTAAGATGATGGAAATACCCTATTTAGATTCTAAGAAAGATTGAAATATCTACTGGTGTAGATACCAGTATGTTTCAGAAGCACAAAGAATTAAGATTTTGTTTTTAACTTTTTCGTTCATGAGAATGATTAAAAATTACTTGAAAATAAAGTTCTGATGGATGACACTTACCTCTACCCTTCCGTTGCTGGAGAGTTGTTTTCATAACTGGGTTTTTTTGAAATTCAGTTTATCAGTGGCCCATGAAAGGATGCATGCAAAATTAGCTTATATAGTACTAAGAAAATAGTTTTTAAATTACCATACAGGAGGCAAAAATGAACAATTTAGGATTTTGTTTTTCTTTTTGTGTTTTATTCCTGGAATCTTTCAGGTTTATATGTAATTTGCAGTTAAAGCACTATCTAAAAATGAATGTCAGTTCTCTTGCAGTCACAGGCATTAAACAGGAACTTAATACATAAAAGCACTATTGTATCTGTGATTTCCTGCATTGCGTATCTGTTTACTTTCATATTATTTCTCTACATCTAATTACACCTAAAGAAGAGTCTTTGCCAAACAATTTTTTTTTTTAATAACTTAAGAGTAAATGTTGGATAAGGACAGTGTTGAATGTAGTCCTTTTAAAACCATTTTGTATCCTTTTTCCTTACATATATATTTTACTCTTGGTGCATCTTCAGCTCTACAAGACTCACCGTGATGAGAAGTACACAGGAGACAATTCTCAGTCAGGTTAGAATACTATCATTTGCCTTTACTGCTGTACCTGAGGTCGTGGCCGAGTGCTATGTTGTTTTTTCCCTCTGTCGAGTCAGTGGTCAGAGCAGATGGCCAGTGATGGATGCCAGCTGCTCTTATGTCGCACCACGAATTGGATTTGTAACCATCATTAATAATTCAATCTCCTGTGCAGAGCTCTTGCCATGCATTCGGAGTCAAGATGCATTGCTCTTCGTTGTATTAAAACACTGTCTGATCCTGAAGCTGGTGTACCTTGGCACCCCTTTCTGTTTGAAATTAACGTGGAACCATCCTGATTTGTGCCAGCAGATCTGCCCCAGTGTTTCCAAGCTTAGGACCCATCAGCAGGCCATTGGTTTGGCCCCAGCACAGGGCTAAGATAGTTGTCTGTAGTGTCCAGGCTAGAGCTGAGTTATTGCAGCGTGCTTGCACAACCCTTGCCCCATGTCTCAGGCAGGTTCGCTTACTTGCAGACAGTATGTTCAAGCTCTCAGTAACTTATTCAGATAGCTTTTGACCAAAGGTGTGGAGTATAAGGGGATAATGTCTTCTCCCAGTGCTGTGTAATGTTTGGAATAACCATTTTCCTTGAAGACAGAGGCACTGAAGGCCAACTTAAAGCTTGTAATTCTAGTGATCTGAACCAGATGCAGCACTGCCTTCTCATTCTGAGTGAACGGGCTCTTGTGCCCTGTTACCTTCTGGCACCCAAGCCCCTTCCCGCTGTAAAACACTGGACAACATTACAATGTCAGGCAGCTTCTGATTTTCATAGGGGTCCGAGGATATAACATACAAAGAGTGTGGGAAGTGGCTGCTTGACATCCCCTAGTTTTTCGAGTAGCCTAAGAATATGTACAAGCACTGGAGAGCTTTGTGATGCCAAATAACAATGAGCAGGGGGAGAAGAGGTAATATATGCAATTTGCTGCTCTCGTTAACATTGCTGCCATCAGAAGTGATCTGTCCTGGCTTAAACTGTTTGTGCCTGTGTCCCTGTAATAAATGCAGTTTTTCTTTCTCACCGTTTCTTTCCTGCAAGCAGGGGAAGGCGAGAACACCTGTGAATGAAGCTGAAGAACACTTGTTACTAGTTAACTCGTAGCTACTAGCTTACTGATGTGTTTTACAGATTGCGTGGGGCATTTAGGTTTGCTCATTATTGTCACAGATTTCAGCAAGACTGGGGAGCCACATCCCATGAAGCCATTTTGATGACTGTGGTGCAGTGAAAGCAGACAACCTTAGAGTCACGTGCATGCGATGTGGGTTATCCTTCCCTGCAGTTCATGGTTGTGCTCCGAGAATAAATTCCCAGAGCCATGGGCATATACCAGTATGTGATGAGGGCAGAAAAACCATCCATGTGTATCGTGCTGTTTTTGTGATGGTGTGCTTGTAACACACTGGATGGGGAGACATTCAGCTCACCCGGTGACGGGAAAATTTTTATTTAGGAATTTAAATGTTTTCAGCTGAAATCGTAGCGTGGCATAGAGCAGCTTTTATGCACCTGTGACTCTCTAAGCAGCACTACCAAAGTTTCCAACTTGCTGGTTGGTATTTAATGCAAGGAGAGTTGTCTTGTTTGCTACTGCCACTCGCAGCTGTGTTTATGTGTAAATGTTTGCTCCCACGCAAGTGCTTTATGTTAAACTCTTCCAAATGTGAATGCAGGAAAGGGGGTTGAAAGAGGAGTCCTATCAAATAAGTAAATAAAATAATTTAAGATGCATTAGTTATTCCCTGACTTAGCTGTCGACAGAGGAAAATGCTTTCAGTTTCTCCAGTCTGGACTACAACAAAATAAAAAGACCAAAGCTGTCTTGTACATCTGTGGTAAAGAAAATAATTAAGAAACTTTATTTCAGTCATTTTTAGGATGGATATATTTTTAATTCTGTATACTAACATTTTGTTTTCCTAAGGACAGGCTGCATATATTCTGTCATGTAACATGGTTATGCAAACCGGTCCTTATGTTGAGAATATCAATTTTACAATATCTCTGATTCTTCACATGGTGGGTATTTCCTTTTGAAAGCTTGCTGGGGTCTCTGATCTTTGAGTGGCATTTCAGATGCTCTGGGAACAGGTACTATAGAAAATCTTGCAAACAGGTGCATAGATGAACAGTTGCTGTTTTGAAACATAAGAGACAGTGCAGCCTATAATGTTTTGGAGAAACATGAAATTTTACCAAATCTTTTTTTCTTTTTTCTTCTTTTTTTTTTTTTTTTTTTGAGGCTCTCTCCAGACATTTCATCCAGCTATGCCATTTGTCTGGATGTGATAATTTCTCTTGCTTTAGCAAATGGCAGTTTCAAGAATGACAGCTTGGTGCATGGTTAATTTTCACAGCAGCTGAATTGATTGTTTATAATCATTCTCAGTATGTTGGATTTTTCTTAAACACAGGGTACAAACAATTACTGCAATTAAAAGCAAAAGCTGTCTGAGTCTGAATTGTGCTTGGGCTGGAAGGGTGTAGACTGAGACAGGATTTTTCTCACTTGGCTAAATCTCTAGGCAGTTAAACTCAGGTTCGTTCAGTGGTTGGTGGAGAGCAAAAGGGACCTGCAAGGTGGGGTTCAACCCACCTGCCTGAGACATCTCTCCTGACAACTACCTTAGACAAAGACAGCCCAGAAGACTGCCGCTTTTAGGCAGCTAAAGTTAAGTGAAGCAACTCCCCTGTTCCATAAGGCGTCTCGACTTCTTTGTGAAACAGCTTTCCAGGTGGCTTTAGACAGGTTGCTGTAAATTGGTAGACACTGAGGCCCTTGCTCTGATGTGTAGAGATTACAGTATTTCCCCCACTTACATGGTATTGTTAAGATCATTTAAATAAGTGTTCAGAATTTTATATGGAGGAGACTCTGTAGAGGTCTTACTTGATGCATTTTTAAAGCTTTTGTTTGTTTCCTATTTACAGAAACCCATTCCTTCAAATGCAAGAACAGAAGGAAAGACTCAACTGATGTTAAGTCTATAACATCTCAAAGTAGTGATGGTAAGAAAGTAAACTGTCAAGAGCGATGTTATAAATAAAGAACAGACTTGCCCTAGGCAATAAAAATGCAGAATGAAAGAGGAATCAGAGAGATTCACAGCTGATTAAACAGAGAATACTCCAGGTTTTTATAAGTGCTGTAAAATTTCAACATTCTGATTTGCAAAACAGTGCCCCAGCATGAGTGCCAGCCTCACTGTACAATGCACACAGCGTGCGGTGCCTCCACAGCGAGGAGGAGTGGCTGTGCCGTGGGATGGGGGCAGCCTGCAAAAGAGTGCGTGGCAAAGCGTTAGTTCCACCTCTCCGAGAAAGCTGCAGCTTGTGCTCCCAAACCAGTATTTTGGTTTCATGAGTGTGGGACATGAGGGGATCTATTGCTGCTGGTTACTTGAGAGCAGCACTTCTGCTCCTGATCGCATTTGTGGCTGCTTGCTGAGGCTGGGACGGTGGCGGCAGAGATTTCTTCCTGTCCCGGTATATAGCAAGAGAAGCACAGCTTACGGGGAGCAGGAACGGGTTTCACTAGAGCGGCTGCATCACGGAGATGAGGGACATACGCACACATACTCTCACAGGAGGAGCCCTGTCTGACAGAGATCTATTGCAAACAAAAGGAGTGGCAGGTATCGGGCATGAAGTATAATATAGCTTAAGTATAGCTTCATTTCAGTATAGCTGAAGTGACGGATGGACAGGAAAACTGACAGCAGAAGCAAGGGGTGGCTGCACAGGTAGTAGACAACAGTGCAAGAAACTGAACAGTAAAGCAAGAACTTGCAGGAGGGGAGATACAGGAAAAATGGGAGATGAGGCTGGATCCCGTTGTGCTGTTCTCCCATGACAGCCTTCCGCACTCTTTAAATGGTGTCACCTGATTTACACTCTGTGGCGTGTAAACAGTGCTCTCTTTAATGGCAGCTCCAAGTTTACAGACCCGACGGTACTCTTCCATGGCCAGGATCCACTCGATGACAATAGAAGCTCCTATCACAAAGGTGAGTCCTGAGCACTGTCTTTTCCACAAACTCAGAGTTTGGAGTTGCTCTCATAGGGAAGTATGTAGTTCATGGCAGGACAGCCAGGGGTTTCCTTCACCTCGTATTTAACAGAATAATTCTAATACTTTTTTTTTTTTTTCTTACCACTTTCTGCATCTCATCATCTCATTCCAAATGACTGGGAGGAATATTAAAAAGGGGGAAAGGGTGTCCTTGCTAGATGCACTGCTTGTGGCAGGAAGGGATCCTGCTCTGTTGGGCCATGCATGTGTAGGAGGACATGCTTCCAGTCTCACCTTTGCTTTTACCATCAATATTTATAAGATAGGAGGGAGAGGACGGAGCACCTGCACCATATTCTGTCCCCCCACTTCCCTGCAGTCTTTTCTTTACTATCCGTGTTACACAAACTCTGCTCTCGCAAACCAGATGTACAATCACTTGTCCCGCAAACCAGGGTGCCTGCCCTCTCCCACCCTCAAACCGTTTTTTCCTCTCTCCCTATTTTCTCTTCCTGGGATCAAGCTCTGCTTCCCAGCACCACCGTGCCTGTTAGAGCAGCTGACTGCTTTTCCTATCCCTAAGCGTACCTGCAGGGAGGCCCAAAATGCCCCCGCAGCAGCTTCCAATAGCTGGAGAAGACAGCGCTGGGGCTTTCTCCCTCTCAGTCCTGGCAGTGCCAGGCGCAGTCCTTGCTGCTGCTGCAGTGTCATGGCTGTGTTCCCAGACTGTGGCTGAGACATGAGGTAGGAGGCAAAGAAGAGCCATCCTCTTCTCCCTCAACCACAGCCCAGCTGTTGCTGCTCTCTGCCCTTTGTTTTCACGTTGAGAAAATTAAGGTTTTACGTCTGATATCGGGATATCGGAGTCACATCTAGGAGTTCGTTTGCTTGCTTTTTTCCTCTGCGGACTTCTGAGCAGCCCTAGCTATGCTGAAGGACGGGGACATGGCTAGTTTTTGGTCTACCCACCTGCAACTATTTCAGATATTTCACACCCTTCTGCTTTCACTTCCCAGGAGTTTGCCAGTTATAAATAGCAAACAGATACCAGGGAATCAGAGCACAAATTCACAGTTTCAGAGTTGTACTTAAAGGGCTGGAGGGCGATTACATAGCATTTGCCAAGTGGGAAGTAGCATAATCAAGCAAGAATAAACATTTTGTAATAAGAAAAGGCAAAAGTTCTGTTCACTCTTCCTCCCCTGCCTCCTTAATCTGCTTTCAGGTTATTAACATAATTAATGCTGCCCAGGAAAACAGCCCCATCACAGTAGCAGAGGCCTTGGACAGAGTTCTGGAAATCCTGCGGACAACAGAACTTTACTCTCCTCAGCTAGGTACCAAAGACGAAGATCCTCACACAAGTGATCTTGTTGGAGGTCTGATGACTGTGAGTAAAATTAGTAAAGATTAAATCAGTTACCAGCGTACTGCATCACAGTTCAGTGCTATGCTGTGCTAAACATTCACAAGCAATGTGAAGGGGACTCGTAATTCATCACCGTTTCACTTAAGTATTTTGGCCTCTCGTAACAGTAGGCACCAAGATGTGCTAAGATACAGCCACATCTCAGTCCATTGGGTGCATTCATCCTCACATGTAAGTGAACACGGTTGCCACTAGAAACTATATCATCCACTCTGATTTGTCTCAAGGAGAACTTTATAGAAACCTAGAAGCTTAGATGGGATTAGTGGGATTGCTCTACAGCAGGTCCAGTGTAAGAGAGAGGTTATCAGCTTCTGACTTTGGTCCTGTAACAGCAGCAACAGTGTCTGCCAGAGAGACACCACCTAGATTTCGCCATGGCTTACCTCATTTTTTAACATACATTGAGCTAATTCTTGTCAAAATAACATAAAGAAAATGAAAAAAAAAATGATAGTGGTTAATTTGAATGTTGAAATCCTGCAGGTGCCAATGAAAGGGTCAAGGAGGGCTGTATAGTTAGTAATATCCTTTCTGGCAATCTCATACTACTGTTCCTTGGATCCTTTCACGTCTGTTTTTAAAGACCTTAAAACAAGGATGGTTCTTGTAGTGCGACAACAGGAGCAGTGCTTTTAGTACCCAGGAATAGTACCTAAAGAGAAAGTGCATGTAGTGGGTTTGCAGTTTATGGTGCATGGATACTCTGCCTAAAACTTACGATAAGCTTGCTTTTTCAGGATGGTTTGAGAAGACTGTCAGGAAACGAGTATGTGTTTTCTAAGAGTAAGCCACCATTTTAAACTTCCCTTTACACGTGTGACTGCTTCTGTAGACGCTAGTGACATAGAGCTCCAAGCTAATTTGCAGTGGGATGTGTGTCTTTGGAAACGGTTGTCTAAGTGACTGAGGAACAAGTGCTGGACTGCCTCCATTTTGGAGTTGAAGCAGGTTCAAATAATTAAAATAATATATTTAAAAATATAGAAAACCAAACTAGGAAGAATCTAAATTGTCACTCAAAGAAATGTTCACTCATCTTTTTGGTTTCTATCCAAATAATCTGGAATAATAGAAACCATATATATTATAGGCTTTTACAGACTATTTCATGTAAGGAAAGGAGTTGGTTTTCTTGAAAAGGAGTAGTTTTCTAAATGGAATTCTGCATGCGCGGAGAAAAAAAAAATCCAGAAATGTTGTAATTCCCAAATTCCATTTCAACAGATATGAACCTGAGCCATAGTCACCTTTCAGTGCCAAACAGCATCAGTGATGTTCCGCCCTGTATCACACAGCTCCTAGATAATGAGGAAAGCTGGGACTTCAATATTTTTGAGTTGGAGGCTGTTACAAATAAAAGGTACTGGACTCCTTTCCCTGGGTGCCCACAAAAAGGTTGTCAAGGAGCTGTAGCAGAAAGCACTTTGCTCTGGAAAAACTGAAGCAAGACACAGCAAATCTGTGAGAGCTGTCTTTCTGTCTGTCTGTGTGTGTTGATACCATTTGTCCCATTCAATGAGCCAGGCACACACCATGGTCCAGATGCACGCTCAGGCCATGGAGAGCCCGGTGCAGACTCTGTTGTCCTCCCTTGACAGTGTCTACGGCCCTCCAGGATTGTTTCCCATTCAACACCTACCTTGCTTGACTCCCATACACTGTGTCCAGGTGACACTGTTTGTCACATGCCGGGTGTCCCACAGACACCCCTTTATCCTGCTGATGTGCAAATCATCATTCTGGAAAAACCAAGCCTCTCCCCTCCCTCACCTAAATCACCCACAGAGTAAATGACAACCCAGAGTGGATTGGGATTTAAGAACCAACGAGATTAGCGATTTTACCCTATTTACTGCTTCAGACACAGGCTCATCACTGTCCTCCCCAGCATTACATTCACCAGACCTCAAACTCCCTCTCCAGCCAGGACATCACTGCTGGTAGGATTCAGAACATGCCACTTCTTGTTTAGTCCAGCCCATACCACCTGAAGCAAGAAAGTAGCAGGCTTCTGCTTAAGAGTTCAGAAGTTCTGTTTCAGACATTAACTCCCTACACACACACACACACACAAAATAGTAACCTGTTGCTGAGAGCTGCTCTGGGAAGCATCACTACATTTTGCATATTGTCAACTTCAGATAGTCAGGAAGTCGAAATCTGGACCCCCTGAAGTCACAGGATTATTTCAAAGAGTAAACATTTGACATCTTCTGTCTTAAGGTTTTTTAGCCTTTGGGATGTGCCCATGACATGTTCAGAGTCTGCTTTTTCTCCTCAGAAAAAAAATGTATTTTTGATTGATTGGCAGATAGTAAAACCACAAAAGACCTGAACTTTTAAGAACTTTTTTCTGAAGCCACAAGAATTGGTGAAACTCTAGTGGAACTGCGCCATTTCTACAAAACATATTAAAATAATGTCTGAAAATATGGTAGATGTAATAACTTGTAACCTTGGCTGAGCTTTTGAGAGGTTATAGGTGTGCAATTTAAAAAAACTTGACATTTCCCCCACCACCTTTTATTGTTAAGGTCTTGTTGATTTCTTTGTCAAAATCATCACCCTTGAGAATGCCAGAAGTTCCTATTTTACAGCGGCGCTTTTTCCTTCTATTGTTTTTCAGGCCATTAGTGTATTTGGGCTTAAAAGTTTTTGCCCGGTTTGGGGTCTCTGAGTTTTTAAGCTGTTCAGAAGCAACACTGCGAGCGTGGCTGCAGGTGATTGAAGCCAACTACCACTCCTCCAACTCCTACCACAACTCCACGCACGCGGCGGATGTCCTGCATGCTACCGCCTTCTTTCTCGGGAAGGAGAGAGTTAAGGTATAACCATCGCCTAGGAGTCTTTTGGGCTAGGATTTCATTTTCACTGTATGTGTGTCATTTGAAAGTCAGATGTTTTCTTAAACAATGGTCCTGGCTTCATAAAGTCGCTCTGCTCTTGAAGTCTTTTCCTGTGATGCCTGCAGGCCCACGCAGTTTCTCTGGTCTGTTTATGTAAGTAAGGAATTTACATTTTTAAGTAGCAACAATAGGGGAGAAAAACCTGGCTCTTTTCTATCTCTTGGTAACTGGCTGTTAGTAACAGCTCTTAACAAAGCTTTGCAAAAGCTTTGGAGAGGAAGGTGCTGAGCTCTTCTCCCAAGGATCTAGTGACAGGATGCGTGGGAATGATTCAAAGCTGCACTGGGGAGGTTCAGACTGGACATGAGGAAGCATTTCTTTACCAAGAGGCTGGTCAAACACTGGAACAGACTTCCTGGGGAGGCGGTCGATGCCCCAAGCCTGCCAGTGTTAAAGAGGGGGTTGGACAATGCTCTCATTGTAGGTCCCTTCCAACTGAAATGATTCTATTCTGTTCTGTTCTGTTCTATTCTACTCTATATATATTGATACCTAAAACCATAAAGCAGCAAGACTCTTGTAGGAGTTTCAGTTTAATTTCTGAGCACTGGAACAGACTTCCTGGGGAGGCGGTCGATGCCCCAAGCCTGCCAGTGTTAAAGAGGTGTTTGGACAATGCCCTTAACAACAGGCTTTAGCTTCTGGTCAGCCATGAATTGGTCAGGCAGTTGGGCTACATGGTCATTGTAGGTCCCTTCCAACTGAAATGATTCTATTCTGTTCTGTTCTGTTCTATTCTACTCTATATATATTGATACCTAAAACCATAAAGCAGCAAGACTCTTGTAGGAGTTTCAGTTTAATTTCTGAGTGCAGTTGAAGATGATCGTTGTAGGTCCCTTCCAACTGAAATACCCTATCCTATCCTATCCAATACTATCCTAAAACACACAGCTGTGTAGGAGCAGAGTCAGTACAGAGGCATTCAGGCAAGCACACGAAGTGGAAGGACACCACTAGAGGATCCATCCACTGTTAGAAGATTTAATGCCAAGATACTGCTTAGGTGACAGCATAGTAAAAAGCTTCATTAAGGACAGAGTGTTTGGGTAAGGGTGAGAGGGGAAGCTTTGGAGTAGGTAACCTGTGGGCACAGTGAGTGGAGAACAATTGCAAGACGGTAGAATCCCTGCATTTGCACTAGTTGTGGATACCTGGAAATGATCAGGAATTTATTGTCATTTTTGTGCCACATCATAATTTTTCTCTCATCCTGTAGGGCAGCCTTGACCATTTAGATGAGGTGGCTGCATTAATAGCTGCCACCATTCATGACGTAGACCACCCTGGACGGACCAACTCCTTCCTGTGCAACGCGGGCAGCGAATTAGCCATCCTTTACAATGATACAGCTGTTTTAGAGAGTCATCACACGGCACTGGCATTTCAGCTTACAACTAAAGACAGCAAATGCAACATTTTCAAGAATATCGATCGGTGGGTCTGCTGGAGAAGGGGAAGTGCATGTGTGTGGATTGCTTGTTTGTGGATTTTTAGTTTGGGGCAGATCAAGAGCCTGCCTCCTAATCCAGAAAATGTAGTTTTAACAGACATCAGTATTTAATCTCCTCCAGAATCCTATGTAGGCATGATTTTTTAAAAGGCTTTAATTTTCCCTCCTGACCTCCAATTTGTATTTCTGGAAACATACAGAGATGTTTGACAATCTTTTACAGATTACATTGGCATGGTCTAGCTGGCAGCCTCAAGGCTGCATCTTGACGCACTGCCTTTTCCAGGCTCCTGCAGTGAAATTACTTTTTTGGGCCACACATTTCCACCCAGCCCGCCAGACGCTGTATGCTGTGTCTGCACGTGGCCCCAGGCTTGCTGGCACCACTGCATTCACATGGGACGGAAAGGGGTGGTAGCGGAGGGAGCTGAAGCTCCGGGAGAGTTGGAGGCACCCTTACTGCTGGCCATGCAGACAGCCTGGGAGTTCCCATTGCATCAACCTAGCTTTTGCAGGGACATGGTGGGAGAGAAAGAGAAAGGGCCTGACCCCAAACAGGTAATGAATTTGTCTAACCCCACCCGGTAATGCTGCTGGGTTTTAAAAAACCTGGGAGTTGAGTTCCAAGCTAACATACAGTGAGACAGAAATGTGTTGGTGCCATTCCTGGAGAAAGTGTCACAGCATTATGAAGTTGAATTGTAAGTTTTTATTGACTTCAGGGGATTGGTTTTCATTCGCTAAAAATAACATGAAAAAAAGGCAATACAGGAATTCAGAGCCGAAGGGACCCAGAGAGGCATGATCTAGTCCATTCCTCCAGCGCTAGACCATTCATCACTCTGAAGGTGCTGGCTCGTGTGGACAAGCCCCCAAGCAGTGTTTTGTGGTGCTGTCTGGGCAGGGACGAGGAAAGGACGGAGCTCTGTTTGGCAGGCTTGTGAGCAGGAACTATTTTTCTTTCCTAGAAATCACTACCGGACATTGCGCCAGGCCATTATTGATATGGTTTTGGCAACGGAGATGACGAAGCACTTTGAGCACGTGAACAAATTTGTCAACAGCATCAACAAGCCAATGGCATGTGAGGAGACCAGTTTGCATGTAAGTGCTTGCAGGACTTTATGTCTTCAAACATTTCAGTGAAGTTCTCCCAAGATAATTTTAAGTACTATTTTCATTCACATTGTATTAATTTGCACTGTGGTAATGCCCAAACCACACCATTGGATTTGTGACCTCACGCCTCAAAGTGTGAAAAAATATTTTTATTTTCTTGTTTCCTGTGTCTGGCTTTACCCTTATCTCCATTTAAACAGTTCATTTTATAAGCCTTGGTTTCAAAGCCATCTGGTGTTCCCAAAGCATGCGGGTGGGTGCTTTTGTATACATGCAAAATTCCACGCATGGAGCCAGGTCAGCACTTGTGCCTACGGTCTTGCCTCCAAACAGTGGGATTTGCCTAAGCCTGGGGTTGCAACTGAGGAACCTGCCCTGACCGTTTTGTGCCTAAAAGTAATCCAGATCCTTCCAGCCACGAGGAGGAGCCACTCCATTGCTTCCCAAGACCTCTCCACCCCATCCCCATTACTGATTGTACCAAGAGATGTCCAGGCCTTTACTCCTATCAGTTAAACACCCTAACGCTCCATCACCAGCCAGGGTGTATTTTTTTTTTATAAAATATCTCTGGAGTTTCCCAGACCAGGCCTCTTTTTACCTTCTCTTGTTGCCTTTTGCGGCTGAGCATTCAGTGACTGACAGGGGTCTCCAGGGCAGCATTACTCACCTAAGCAAAGACCATCTTATCACAGCTTAGTGAAAACAGTGCTTTGTTAGAAACACTGGGGGGGGGGGAAGGACACCCAGATCAAATTGAAGGTCAGTGATATTAAAAATAAATAAAAGTAGCTTCTGTCAGTTCTCTGTAACTGGACTTTTTTGCACTGTAGACTGTCATGGGTGCAGTAAACCAGCCAGGACCAGTGGGGTTTATGACTGAAGGGACAGCATTACGCCAGGTGAACTGACCTGCTGCTAGGGACTGCTGGGCTCTGTTCTCCCAACAGTTTGAGCTGGAAATCACAAATGCTGCTGAACTTCACCGGCTCTGTGGACACTTTGCACTCTACTCCCCAGCACTTCCAAGCCCTGGAGGGCTCACTGGACGTGGCACTGAATTAGCCTGATCACCTTCAGCGCCAGAAGTCCCACAGCACAGGGGGACGTGGTTTGGGCACTACTGGGGGCCCCTATCAGTGTTTCTGCACTGCGCTCCCAGCACATCACCTGGTGCTAGTCTGCCCTCATGGCACAGGCTAAGCCAGGACAGCAGGGATCCCACTCTGCAGCATGGCCCAGAGGAAAGGAAGGTCTATGTCAGTGGGTGGCATGGAGTTATCTGCTCTCAGGTACTTATATGCAGACGAGACAGCGGCTTGCTCTACCAATTTCTAAAAAAGCCCTCTGAGCTGTCACTGGGAAATGTGACTTCTCACAGTGCTTCATTTCTCTCTCTGACAGCATTTTCCTGAAATGCTTCCTCCCTCTTCATCCTTTTAAAAATCTCTTTAAAAGTTTGCTGGCATCCCCACACTGAAACCACGGTGTTTCCAAGCTCTGGACACATTTCTGGGAATCTCCCTTTTATCCCATGAATCCATTTGTTCGGCACTTCCTAAAGAGCTTGTAAATGCTCTCCATTCACTCTACTGCAACCAGCTTTTCTAACCTATAGAAAACATTTTCTTTGGCTCACTCTCCTTTATCTTACCGGTTTATAGCAGAGGCTATTTTAAAATGTACAAGAGTTGGAGAGCAATAAAAGTGGAGCACAGAACCACTTGTATTACAGACTTGGGGGTTTTTTTTGCCAGTCTTTTTTTTCCCCCAGTTGTCCTGTTCCTTGTTGTTAACGGTGGCTCTTCCTATTTTTGATCTTGAACAGCAGTTAAGGAGCAGGGTTAATGTGGCAGCTCTTTGCTGGCCTACCCATGCTGAAAAAAAATTAACTGCTAAACATAAAGTTAGAAGATTAATGCCTGAATTTGCAAGAGTCACTGCAAAATATCTCCCCATAAACCACAAAGACATTAATTTAGCCGTGGTGGTAAAAAGTATTTATGTTCAGTTTTTGACTCAAGATTTGAATTTAGCAGCAAAGGGAGGCCATAATTACACAAATACATTATTTGGAGAATAGTGTTAAAGCCATGGTGAGCTGAGGTGGAGGCTTTTTATTACTCAATAAGGAACATAATATACCTGTGCCCTTCTAAACTGTTCAACACCCAGAAGATGAGCCACAGCAGACTCGTAACAACCACTCTGTCCCATCCACCCACTCTTCAGAGCAAGCAATAAGCAGTTCAGTATTCTACTGCCTAGCAAGCAGAGACTTTTGCAATTTGTCTGCCATGCCTGCATCCTCCTACTGTTAATTTCATAGATTATCTGAGATTTCATCCTAGCTGGTAACTAAGACCAAAAAGTATTCCAGGCCGAGGGTTTGAAATCTGGCACAAAGGCAGCAGTTTTATTTGCAAACGCACTGGAACTGAATGGCGCAGCCCTGCCCTTCTGCCTGCAAAAGAAAGTCAGCTGTGCAAGGCAGTTCACCCCCCTGTGCCTGCCTCAGTTTTCTCATCTAGGAATGAAAACCAAACCCTGGAAACTCACCTAAATGAAGCAGCCCCCTACCATCACTGCCCCCACTCAGCAGTGAGGATGGTTTATCAGCTCGCAGTTGGTGGATGCATCCCCTATCCTGGTCCTGCTCCAAGAGGGCAAGGCTGGGATGCAGAGGAGGGTAACACACCCTGGCTGGCAACGAGCCTGTGACTTCTTTATTTCATAAACTTTGCTATTAATTCTGAGAATCTCCACAGCTGTTGTATGTAATGGGGGGGGAGGGGGGAAGGTGCTACCATTAGCTACTTAGGAAGGCTGCAGTTCTCAGACATCACTTTCCCCACCAACTTCCTGGTGCTCTGCACGAGATAAGAAGGCGTCAGTCTGGGCACCCGCTTACTGCCTAAGCGCAACAGAGCTGGTAACAATGCCCTCGCTCCTGCTAGCAGGGGAGCTGGCCAACAGCCCCCATAACCAACTCTCTTTTACAGAGCGAAGGCAGCGACTGTGAATGTACAGCCAATATAAAGAATTTTCCTGATAACCAGACACTGATCAAGCGCATGATGATTAAATGTGCAGATGTAGCAAATCCATGTCGCCCCCTAGAGCTATGTATCGAATGGGCAGGGAGGATTTCAGAGGAGTATTTTGCACAGGTATGTGTATTTTTATGTTTTGGCTATTATCTTATGTAAGAAAGCGTACGTTGGTTGGTCTGCTGTTCCACACGGGGTCTGCCTGGCGTCACCACAGAATCCAGACATACGTTTTTTGTTCCCAGTCAGAGCTGACCCTTCACTTTCACGCAGAAGAATTCATCCTGGTCAAAGTTAGCTAGTTTGCCTACTGTGAATCTTGCAGTACAGGATGGTGGGAAGGAGCTTTTACACTTTCAACTTTTTCCATCTGGCCCAAACAAAATGGTTTTAACCTTAGTCAATTTAACTGGCTGAAATTCAACACTGTCACCATTCTAGCTTCTAGTCCCAACACCTTCCTTAAAGAGAGCATGAAGATCCATGCCTAACAAAGCCCTCAACTGAATCATTAGGTTGGCCCTTTCCCTTCTAAGATGTCACCTGAACTATCATCACAGTAGGCAGACGATGCCGCAGGCCAGTGCTGCAGGCATGTGGGGAGCGTAAATGCTTGTCACACGGGATGTCTCCAGGCAGAAATGGAAGCTCAACTTCCTTTATTAATACTCAGTTTTTCTAATACAAATGCACCAGCTTCCTGAAAGTAAAATACTCTCCTAGTTCTTTATTCAAACAACTGACAGATTCTTAGCTTTTACTTGCCACTAAATTTTTGTGGAAATAAGCAGCTACGACTGGAGAGACAGAAAAGCGGGTATGCCTACCATCCAAATTCAGATCACACATGTGAAAGCTGCTAGTGAGAGAAAATAGTAGGCTGTGCCCAGGACATGCCTGCAATTTCATTGTAATCATAGTGAATAAATCTGATCACTTAGGTTGTCTCATCTCCCTCGCAGTCAAGGTATCATGAGATAGCTTTAAATGCCCAATCTTAGGCACTAGCCTCCCTGCAGCAATTTGACATGCTGAGAACCTTTCTGCTCTTCCTTCAGCTCATCTGGTAATTTTGGGAACTGCTCTGCTGCCAATTCCAGCATTAGGTACTGCTTGTACTACTTAAAATGGGGGGGGAGGGTGTAAGCAACAAAACCAGCCCTCTTCCAGCTGTGGGCACAGAGTTAACTTTACTGTTAGTCGTAGTTTACTTCTATTCATGTTACAACCCAATACAAGGAAAGAAAGTAGCAACAGCAACACGCCTCTTATGTAAAAGACAAATGGTTTGAAAGAGGCACTAGAGATGTGGAAAAAGGAGAGAATAAACCTGTCCTCTGCTAAAGGACTCTGCAACCCCATTTTCCATTTTTAACTGGTGAGCCCTAATCACCAGATTGGAGTGTTCTGTTTGCCAGAGCTAAGAGCAATCACAGCACTACAGTAACAGAAAGCTTGTGAAAGGGAAGAGATATTGATTTCAGTCCCTGTTCCAGACGAAATAAAGCACATGAAACTAAGGCAGTTCACCTCAGGGGTTCTAAGGTTTGTCTCGTATCTCCTACTGCAACTCCTCTCATCCCCTGGCCTTTGCTACTCCAGCATGAACGCCAGCAAAGCTCTAGGGGCTAACTGGACTTTTGTTTCCTTAGACTGATGAAGAGAAGAGACAGGGTCTGCCTGTTGTAATGCCAGTATTTGATAGAAACACCTGCAGCATCCCTAAGTCTCAAATTTCCTTCATTGATTATTTTATAACAGATATGTTCGATGCATGGGATGGTAAGTACTTCTGCTTTTTTCTTACTTGCTCTGGGGCAGAGATTTCTACAGACTAAAATGAATAATCTCAAGATGGCCCTGAGCCCATTTTCTTCAGGGGCAGTGCCCCTATATAAGCAGTACATCATAAGATCTAAGCAGTGGTGCTGCTGAGGCCCATTTCACCGCACACAACACCAGCTTTATGAAAGTTGAGCGCTTACCAGACAATCTGTGTAAAGAAGGAAGGAGTAATGACTTAAAACTAAGCTTTTTTTTCACCTAGGTCTTTTTTTCCTACAGCAATTCATTTCTTCTGAGCAGCAGAAACTGAGACCACAGTGGTTGCCTGTTAGCGTAATTTAATAGTCATCATGCATTAAGAAAGGGATTTGCTTGAAAGAGAAAGACTGAAAAAATCTTCCCCCTTTTTGCATTAGCTTACAGCTGAAGGAACAAGAGAGTAGGAGAATGCCCATTTCAGACTTTCATTAGGTTGGGCTGTTCTTCTGCCCATTCTGTACACATAGTACAATTGTTCCTCTTGCTTATTTCAGCATTCGCACATCTGCCTGTTTTGATGCAGCACTTGGCTAATAACTACAAGCACTGGAAAACACTGGATGAGTTAAAGTGCAAGAGTCTTAGGCTCCCATCAGAAAACAACAACTGACACTAAGGCAAGAAAAACAGACCTCTCAATCTACCAGTTTCACTGTGAATCACTTGCTGACTTGGCTACAAGAGGGATGGTGTTTCCTTTCCAGTGAAATTAAAGAGTGTGTGGCAAGAAGGAAGTATTTTATTCATCACTTTTAAGCTTCTCTGAATCCTACAGAAAAATGTTTTCAAAAGGCTACATAATCCACAGAAGAATAAGTGCTCTTCAGAAATAACATTTTGTGGCAGAAAATTTAGTTCTGAACTTAATTTCTAATACTGAATATGCATTCGTCAAATCCTGTAATTGATACAACTGTATTCACTAACACTTCACACAACTGTTTCTCAGACAGAGGGGTAATCTAGTCACCAGTAGATTAAGAACAGGTTGACAAATAAGCATAAAAATGTCCCACTTATCTAGCATAAATTTGCTCCAATTCTTTCAATGTTCTTCAGCTCTCTGAACCACAGCTTTAAAGAGAACATGCACAGTAGAACAAGTAAACCTTAATAAATTGGATATAGTAAAAAACAAGCCTTGCACCATTTAAAACAACCTTATTATTACAGAGACTATCTCTCAGAACACCACCTGTTGTCTCTTCTTTCTTTTCCATGTAAAATCTTGGTAGGAGTCAAATTCCCTTTAAATTGGTTATATAATAGAGGAAAATAAGCATGTTCTGTAGAACAGGTGACATCCACATGTTTCTCTGCCATCTTAGAGAAGTTACCATGCAACATTTTGTCAAATTTTACACAAAAAACACTGCAGCACTTGATCAACTTTTTTTTTTTTATATATATGAAGTGGTATTTGTACACATGGTCATCAATTTTATTAAAATGATCTAAATTTTATGATAAGTCCATATATTGTGCTACTTACTTCTAGGATGAACCTGTTGCTTTTTAAAAAAGTTTCCAGGTTATAAATTATAACAGCATTATGATTTGTACTGCTTTTTCACTCCTAATAAAATGCTGGTTTGTTTTGTGATGTAAAAAGTATTTCAAAAGATGTAAATAAGTTAGAAATCAAACCTAGTTTTTCATTAGTTTTAAGATACGAAATTTATGCTAAAGCTTCCAAAGCACAAACGCGTATTTTTGTACATCTCATTTTAATCACATGCAGAACATGAACATGAGTTCAAATTTTAGACTATTCTCAGACTATTCAGTTAATAAATACTAGCAGAACTGCTGATTTTTAACACTGTGCACTCCAGGCTGCAGGCGAGAGTGTCAAAGCTGTGGCTGCAGTTGAAGTAGCAGTTCACTACTCGGTAAAAGGAAAGGTCTCAAGACATACTCTTTACCTCTGCTATGCTGTATCAAGAATTGAACTGGGTGAAGCGGTGAGGGTGGGGGGACCAAACCAAAACCAAACAGAGTTTAGATTACTGTGGAAGAAAAGTGACAATGATTGTTGTTTACTGCAGGTAGCTTACATAATGTGCCAACCTTTTTTGTACGTTTTGTACCAAGTTTGAAAACAAAAATAAACATTCATAAAAATGTATGTGCAGAGAAATGTATATAAGCTATATTTTTGTTAGAATTGTAATAGAACCTTACTCTTGTCATAGCTAAGGCAGGTTGCTGTGTATTAAAATGCTGCATTGTGTATATTTCAAGAATGGTGTTCTGGTGAAGTATGTTTATTCATTCTTTCTTACTATCTATTGCAACATCCTTCAATTTTTATTCAGAGAAGTTGAACCTCTGTTTTTTATACTGTTGTTGCTTTTACCATTCCTTTATTTAGAACTAGTGCTCTTGGTGATTGTACCTTAACTATTCTGATGACTGAACGCTCACTGCAGTTTGCATTAGAGAAAAGAATTTCACAATACTCAAAGCTTTGTCATCTTAAATTAATTGATTAAATACTGCAACACTGTAAGACCACATCCATGTAAAGCATTTCAATTCATTTTTTTTGTCACACTTCTGTCACAAAGAAGAAAATGTGAATGGTGGAAGGAACCTAAGAAATAAAGTTCAGCCTCAGTTCTGGTTCACAAGTTAAGGCGTTAGTGTGGAATCAGTGTATTTGTTGCAAGATCCTGTGTTTCTTCCCTCAGTCAAGAGACTAAGAAAATAAATAATTTGTGTGGAGATACATCTTCTTTAAAAGCAAAAGAAATCAGCATGGATTAATCATCATCTGCCAGTTATGTCAGATCTCCTAGACTCTTAACCTGTCCAGTTGAATAATAGCTGCTTGTTTCATGATATTGTCAGTGCACAGACACATAAAACAGCTGCCTCAGAGTTGTAAAAGTATTAAGGGTAGGTCTGATAAAGATACTTACTTTCATGATGTGAAGTTACAGAATTCTGCAATACTGCAAGATAGAAAAAGAAATGTAAAGGACAAAAGGTGGAAGTAAAATTTCTAATCCAGTCACCCTAATTCTGCTCACTGCACTTCCCAATAGCAAGTGACAAACTCTTACTTAACAGGAGTGGGCTAGTATAGCCTTACTGTGTTCACTGTTAAGCTCAAAGTTCATTTGTAAAAGAAAGAACTCAGTTTAATACTTTCAACTCAACCATCCTTAAAGGAAGAGACCCTTGGGAGATCTATTACCAATGGTGCATATCTGAGAACAACGGCACTTTTGACAGATGTAAATATTTATACATGCATGTAGGACTATTTAAGGCTGAATTACATCCTTGTAAAATGCACGGAGAGTTTTGTGACTAGAATGGTTCAGTTTAATAGGTCTGTTTCCGTATCCAGGTATTCACTTAAAAGCAGTCGCATAAAAATGAAATAGTTGTTCTCATGGTATAGGAAGGAGACATAATAAAACGATGATATTCCTTCTTTCTAGTTATAACTGATGATAGCAGTAGCCTCTCCAAAAAAAAAACCCCTAAGTTTTATAAGCTTTTGCGGTAAAGTTTTAGTGGCAATGGGTAAACACATACAACTAAACAGTTTTTTCTCAATTGAAACAAGGAAAAAGAGCCAAAAAGAAACTGACCTTCCTACGTTGTACTGGGGTAGCCAAAAATGCAACACTTGCTGATGAAGCCAAGGTGAAAAAATGCAGACTGACAGGCAGAAAGGCTCAACATGCCTTCCTCCCCCAAGTTTAATACCATATACCCAAAGGCATGTTATCATCACCTGTACTCCTAACGCCTTTCCTATGCTGGTCTATAGAATAGCCACCCTGAGCTCAAGATTTAATGCTGACTTATCCATCCTGATTTGAAAGGAGAGGGTGATTTAACAATTTCTCCATCTATGTTTTTGAAATACATCATTTTGAGCTCTACACTCAACTAAGATTAGTTGTACAAGTTGACTAAAGTGGCGGGAAAAAAAAGACCAGCTCGAAATTTTACTGTCCCTCTGCCCTGCCTTCCAGGGAAGATTATGGTCACACAAAAGAGGCAAAGCCTGGCTTCTGGGTGGTAAGGGGAAGGCAAGCACCCATGGGAGCTGGGGGAAGCAAGTCTAAAAGGCTCCTTGGTTACTTCTAGGAAGCTGAAGCCACCTCCTTTTGCTTCTCTACTTGTCAGGATCTGCTCAGTCCTTTGTTTTAATTGCACTTACTGCAGCTGCTGGATCTTAAGTCTGGAATTACAGCCTGTAGTCTCCTGTACTGAAAACAATTCTCACTGATTTAAAGGGAAGAGATGGCACTGAAAAGTTGCATGAGACTTACTCCTAATCTGATTAAGTGCTGGATCTTCTGAGTAGATCTGAGGACAGTGGCACCATCTTCTACATGGCTTTACGACCACTAAGTTCCAAAACACCCCCCTTCCCTAGCTCTCCTCTGTTCAAATGGTAACTTACCACTCATTATCTTGTCCTCCCTCCCACTTCCTTTATATCAGTTCTGGGTTTAACTTTACTTTTTGGTTTAACTTTTTTTTTTTCTTGCTTTTGGTTTTTGTTGCTTTGGTTTGGGGTTTTTGTTTTAGTTTGGGATTTTTCTTCCACTTCCATTTAGCTTGCAGATTACTGCTCCTGCCTCAGACTTGGAAAAGGCATTGTGTACTTAAAGGCTTTTTATTTTTAAACTCTAAAATACTATTTATCCTTACAAACTTGGTGCAGATTTCTCTGCAGTCAAACTTCAGCTGAGAATTTGGTATTCATCTGGCAGAAGTGTTTTGCTAGTACTGAACCCATCAACTGCTACTGCTTGAGGAAACATTCTACATTCTGAAAATCCATGGTAAGGCCAGTGCTTTTTATTAGATACAAATTAGTTTGATGAATGCACCATGGAAAGACTAAGCTAAACCAGTCACACCTCATGCTAGACATGGTAATGGTGCTGCATAAACTCCAGTGGTGTAGGTTAACCCACAGTGAAACTGCAACTACTGCCAGCAAGGAGTATCTACATACCTTGGTTTGCCAAAAATTAAAACCTGACAAACCAGTATTGCCTACTTTTCTTTCTTGCTTTTACCCTTGGTGCAGGATAGTAACTTCAAATGCCAAAATTCTAGGAGAACTGTTTTTTCGGGGGTTTTTTGTAGATGCATAATCTGAGCCATCAGTGACTAAAATTTAGCTTCAAGAAATAAGTTACATAAAGCAGGAAGCCTCAGATTTTTTTTCTGTGCCTCCTTTCTGCACATAACATTGCGGAATGCCCCCAACTGATTTAGTCGTGATCCATCTAAGGATTTTTACAAATCTTAATTTTGACATCCATCCATGATATTTTTAAACATTAGGAATAACATTAGAAACTATTTAATGAGTCATCATTACCTTCAGTCTTTCAAGAGAACACCATTTCTGCTGACAGAGTACGCCAAGTAAGTTTCAACATACAAAATTCTCCTTTGACAAAAGTAGTGGCAACTAATAAAAATTCCAGTATAATACATGACATTAAGTGTAAACCTTACTGGTAGTCACATTCCCATTAGCTCGGACTTTCCTTTACACTCACATTTAACACCCATACAGTTTATACATATGTAGCCTGTATTCTAGCAATTTAAAATTTGAGCTGCAAATCATCATTTTGCGCCAATTTTTGAAATAGTGTTAAACTGCGGAGCCTAGATTCTCGTTCACCATCCTTCCACAAAATAATGAGGTGGTCAGCAGAGCACGTAGCCAGTCCCAGTTCACCAAAGTACAGGAACATCTGCAGTGAAACAATTGCTATTACCATGATGCTCACATGATTGTCACTTGCTTAAATGCTCAGTGTACAGCTGGCCTAAACAAATACATGTGTCTGAAATGGTCCTGTTTGAACATAGGTATGCAAAATCACAATGTATAGTTTCTGTATGTTTGAGATGTCACAAAATCCCTACATGAAAACAACTCTTAAACAGCACTTCACACTGAAAGATCTCAGTTTAGAAAAAGTAGTAAAGCCTTACAAGATAGGGAAGCTAAGATACAGAGTATTGAAGAAACTTATTCCAAGTGAGCAGTAGAAGAGTAAGTGACTTGTTTGAATGCTAATCAGCAGGTTTCTTATTAATAGAAGACACTGTTCTGCTCACTTGGGTACACTGTCCCCTTCCCACACAACACTACAGGCTACCATGACCTAGAAGGATAAAGGAGTGAACAACTGCAACAGACATCAGCATATGCCTGGTCATGCAGAGGAAGCCAAACCAGCAAGAACCACAACATGGGAGAGAAGTATAGCAGCAGTGGAGGGATTTTGCAACAGCAATAGAGCTGACAAATCAGGTAGTCACCCCTGACTTCAGAGACCTCCACAAGGCTGCCTAAAATTAGCCACTAATTGCAGTTCAACAAAACAACCAATAGAACCAGGTAATGTGATGCCACTACAGCATGCTTGCAGTTTCCAAGCTGTTCAGCTTGTTGAGGGGACTGTCCAGGGAAGCATTCAGGCCAAGGACCATGCTACAGCCTACCTGCTCTGGGAACAGCCACTTACTGGCTACACAGTTCCAGTAAAAATACTCTGGCCAAGCCCACATCTTTGACCATCACATTTCATCACTACTCAACATTTCCAGCCTCAACTGCTCCAGTGTACCCAGAGTTTAAAAATGGCATTTTCCACATGTAGAACATTATAGAAAATTACATCCACCATCATCTCAGTTACTCTTTGGCTCTGCAGCATCCCAGAAAAGACCCAATATGAGCCTCTCACCTTCTCTGATGTGCCTCTTGCTGAATTACATGCTATGTCCTCTTTCTTAGATAGCAACTTTTCATACTGATAATAGGGCCTCTTTCAACAGTTTCTCAGAAAGAAAGATGCTAAAGAGGGGCAGAAAGCCTTGCAGAAATCCCTATAGCAAAAAAGTTCACCTTTTTCACCTGGTTTTCACCTGGTAGTGAAAAGCTCTCAGCTTTTGGCAATAGCAGTTCTGAAATCCAGTTGTGAGCAAAACTATTCCAGAACAACAGCGCTCCTCTCTACCTGCCCTTCCCCCTACTCCTGCCAAGAATGTATATAAAAGTCCACTGTAAGAAAGTGATTTGTTACTCCAATAGGTTTGTCAAACATGAAAAAGGTGTGGAGAGAAAATGCCATTTAAAACAAAAGCGTACTCTGTTAGGCAGACAAAAGCATAGAATGCTACCTGATCTAAAACTAAATTACCTCCTTAAGGCTCACAGCACAGAGGGCTAAGAAATTCCTGAATGGGTTTTATTTTATACAAGCCCTTGTTTAGATTGCAGACTAAGACAAAATGTGGAACAAACACAGTTCCCAGCTGTATTGTTCACGATCTATAGAGAAACCCAATACCCCACCAGATTACCTGTAGCAAGTATGTATATATCGGCACACAGAATCCTCAGGCATCAGTGAGTGTTTGAGTGCTCATTAGAACTTTAAGCTAGTATGTATTATTGTCTTCACGCTGCACTAAATATACCACAATCAATGTGTTCCCAGCCTCCAGAGCCAGACAGTTGAAAGTTACAGCTGTTTAAGACACACTGCCAAAATTATATGAATAAGTGAAATTCACTTTTTCTTGTTCTTACTAAAGCTGACCTACCTGCACAGCTGATGAATGACCAATCAAATCACCAACCAGCTCCAAGAAATACATAGGCGTATTCTCCTGCATCTTCTTAGCAGCTTGGTTCGCCTGCTTGTTTGCCCTTCCAAATCCCCACATGTTGAAAAACCCTGGGGGAAAAACAAATCTTTTATTTTGGCAAAAAATCACAAATACAATTTATTTCCTGTAGCTAAAGAGAGAACTACAGGAGTCACTAAAGATCTAAAAGCAGGACAGTCTGCACAGCAAAATGACAGAAGCACTGTACTGCATGCCATTTCTACATCTCGACTATTCGTCTTCAGGGGGGAAGGGAACATAGCTACTTTGTCTTTTGTCCTTACCAGACGTAATTTAGCAAACATATTGCATTACTCACCTGGATGAGACAATATACAGATTTAGCAAGAAATCCAAGGACTGCCTAAATGAACTAACTGAACAGCAAAGGTAGATGCAGGACAGTGACGTTTACCTTTGCTCTGTCCTCCTAAACTGTTACTTGTGCAAAGAGGAGAGGACTGAGGTGCCAGTCTCTCCCCTCTGTAGCCTGCACCAACGCATTAGAGTGCTGGCATACAAGTAACAAGCAAGTTTCTGATGTTGAATTGCCTGTTTTTATACTGCCCCTGGGCTTTCTCCTTCAGATTTAAAACTATCAGCCAAATGGGAGTGTAAAGATAGTACTCCACATGTTCCATTTAGAAGGCAAGAAAATAGATATCTGTGCCACAGCCTCCTGAAGAACTGTGTAATAATACTGACAGAAGTCATAAAATTGGGTTCTGTACACAACACAGTTCAGACTTTCTTCCCGACCCTTCCCTCAGCCCCATGAGCACACAAAACAGAAGAGTGCTAGACCATGGCCCTAGTGCAAGGGAGATAACTGGAGGGATGAACAACTACTCAGGGGATTCCTTAGAATAAAAATACAGCAAAGCAACAGCAGTCCACCCATCTCACTACTGCGTACGGTTTCTTTCAAATGTCTCCAGCCACAGAAGTTACAGATTTCCAATGTGAAACCAAATACTACTCGTCACAATAAGAAGCCAGACTGTGTAGATCAGATGTCACCAGCAATACTGAAGACAGATCATTCCTGAAAAAGTGTTTCTAAATCAACCCAGGCCACAAAAACATATTTGCAAAAATTACCATCAACAGGTGAACAGCCAAGTAGACAAGATACATCAAGGACACTATTCACAGCTCAAATAAAAAAACTCCTACAAGAGAGAGTAACAGCTCTATACTGTTCCCAGTCCATAATACTAATTATGTTGTCCAGGACCTATTCAAGTCCACAACTACCAGTGCCCAGGGAAGCTGATGGTCTGGTCAAAGAGCAGCAAGCACTACACAGGCAGCGTCTGTACTCAGGGAAAATGCCTCCTAAAACACTAGCAACAAGCCCTGAGGACTGTAACACCCAGAGGTAGTATGTAAGTGAGGTTGGATACAGCCTCAATGTCATTCCAAGTTCAAGGAGGAGATGTGGAAACCACATTTTTTTTTGCCAGCTGCTCGTATGCAAGCTTCTCTTCAACCTTCAAGGTCCTGCAACCATTTAGCTTTGCATGGTAGAGGATCCAGCACTATTCAGCACAAGAAGTGGATCAAGGTTTGTCAGGAGAGGTCATAATTTTTGTTAAACCAGCTGAAAACAACTGTAAACTCTAAATAAGCCTTATGGAACTGTTTTAGCTGGACTTTCTAAATCCCCGTATCAGATCTTGGAGGGCTTGTACCCCCATGTCTTCTTCAGTTTCTCTCCCTCACCTGTTACCAGTTGACCGAACACAAGACATTATCTCATCTTACAAAGCCTCTAAGTCTCTCTATTCCTATATGGTGAATACTGGGTTTCTCATGTCCCTTTTTAAATGCTCTTTTCACCCCGCACTACTAGCAAACCTGTTGGAACCGGTTCAGCTGGCAGCTGCTGCTTTTCTCGGAGCTCCCAAATGCGCACACTGCCATCTTCTGAACAGGAGATCAGCTGCCTGTAAAGACAGTTGATAAGCAACACTAGCATGGATACTTATCTGTGCACGTCACCTTGTAATCTTTATATAAAGGAGACGGCAAGTGCCTCAGGTTCTACACAAGTTTGCTAAAACTCTCAGATATAGCAGGACATCCAGATGTTTCCTACAAAACAAGGTGCATTTGTAGCAGGACAAACTATAATGGGCTTGCAAAATAGGTGGAAAAAATACACATTTTCAATGTAAGCATACCACTCTGTGAAATAAAAATAACAAGTCTAGACTCTACAAACACCGTTCTGCTAACTGGCTTCAGTAAACTTACTTTCATTAAGCAAAACCATATTTTTTTCTTATGGAAAAATAACAATGGAAAAGATATTCCTTTTTGTTTCATGTTTAGAGCAGTTTAGAATAGCACACACATTTACACGATCAAGGCCCTAATTTTTATCTTCTGACAGACTTTTGCTCCATTGAACACGAGTATAAAGGGATCTAACAACACAATTATTAGTTTTTATCTTTTGCTAAAGCATTTCAACTGTTACAACATATTTAGTGAAAAATATTTACTGAATATGCCATAGGCCTTTGCTTTATAAAAGTAAAATGCCGTTAAGCTGTATTTTCACAATGTAGACAAAAGTGCTTTATCAAGTCTGATTTTTAAAATAGCCAAGATATTTTACTCTGAGCTTGTGCATCAAGCATACAGGATTATAGATTTTTCACAATGAATTACAATGATGCATTTTCAAAAAAATCAGATCAACAAGCTCTATCTAATAAAAGCAGACCAAACTGAAGATCAAGCTTTTGCCCTAGAAATTAGATGTAGATTCGCAGGCCGTCTCTAGCCACCTTTCCAAGTTCTACATTTCTTACTGCATTAACAAAGTGTACCGTGACTCACACCTGTTTGGAAGCTTCTCAATGTGCAGTACAGAGGAGTCGTGAGCAGTTCTCTGGCAGGCAATCACACGCTTCATTTGAAGATTATATACGTATATGCCTTTCCCAACAGCAGCAAACACACACTGGAAAGAAAATTCAATGGAACAACTTACAGAAACAGATACTGAAAGATCACCCTGCGTGTAATGGATTTCCAGCAGTACTATGACGTCACCTAGACCCTACTACCTAGCTTGTTTCTGTCCTCACATTACTGCTTTATCCCAAACATATGAAATCAGCAAGTTATAGAAAAAATATGGATTTTTTTGGAGGAAGTGAGAGATATCCTCCTATACTCTCAGCAGTTGGTTTATTTCTGTATTTTAATCCTGTACCTTACAGTCTATGTGGAAACCAATGATACCAACAAATCAACGCATTTCTGCGATTAAACATTTATGGTCTTATACTCAAGCAATGCTGTGTTTTGACAAACACTTGTTTTATCAAGACAGACTAAGAATACAGGCTGAAATGTTCTGCATTTTTGCCACTTTTTAAATTTCACCTGATGCTCCACAAAGAGGTCTTGCTCAAGCATTTGGGCTGTACTGAGTGTAAAAAAAAGGAACTCTCTCACAGAAAGATCTGCAAAGATCTGGAACCATTTTGCATTTAATGCTGCTCTTCAGAAAAGTGCAGGGATTCCATCTCATACCATCACAGCCCTAAGAAGCCACAGTTTAAAGATCCTTGGACCTGGACCCTCTCATGACTTGTAATGATTTCAGAGAGGACAAGTGTACAGTTGTGTGTACATACATCCAATAAATATTTGGTACCAAACAGAGGAGTGCAAAATGTTTCCATTCAGTACAGATTTGGGTTTTTGAACATACCTTGTTTGGGTGATGGTATGCTGGATCTTTTCCCTGAATGGCCTGCTTCCATCTACACAGCCCAGACATTAGCGTCTCACAACCAGTTCACACTACACGCTTGTCAGTATTTTGTAAAACTGGTAACCTAGTGCCTTTGACTAAGATTTCCTATTACATTCAGCGGTGTTTACACTGTTCAAAACTCTATCCAGGTTTTTGTTGGGTTTTGTTTTAGTTTGGGGTTTTTTTTCCCCATTATGCACATCTGCAGTAGGAGCTCCAACAGCTCTGAACGTGAGTTCAAATTTCTGATAGTGCTCTACCAAATCAAGGAAAAAACACTGAGCCCGTTTTTATTATTTCATAGTTTTGTGTGAGGCTCAATTCAATGGCCTTCCACATCCTGTATCTCAGCCTTTTCTCCCTTACAATCTTCCAACTTGAGACAGACTCTTGAGTTTCATATAGTCTTATAGCTTTGCAAAAGATGCTCTTCACAGATCATTCTTATTTACACAAGCTCCGTCAAAACCCTGGTCACCTCAACCCCAAGAAAATAACAGATGATGAAGCATAAATTGCACACCTGTCTTAACAGGCAAGTTTAACACACACATGCATATCAGCACAGCAGATGCACTCCTTAGTGCTGTTTCCTACTGTTGCTGAACCTTTACCATCCCATTTGTTTCTGAGTGATATTTTGCCCACAAGATCAGCGTCAAACCAGACAACTGCATCTTGTCTAACTACCCAACTACCAAGCCAGCTAACAAAGTTCCTAACAGAGAAAACATCTGAATTTTATTTTTTTAACATGAAGAATGTTCTGCTTTTAGATAGCAGGTAACAAAGTAATTCATTATAGGAATACATTTCTTCACCACTTTCTAATTAGGAACTTTACAATACAGACAGCTCTACCCTAAAAGCACTTTCTATTTCAGGATGGAAGACTAGAACCACCTGTTCTTCCCACCACTCAAAAGTCTCACAAGAAATTAAATTCTGCATAAATTTGTTTAGTTCAGTTCCAGGAACAGAATGAAGTCCTCGGTAGCCTCAGATTCCACATTCAACGTTTTAACTACATATGAACTTTCCAAAATTCTTTCCCCCTTCCTTAAAACACATCTTGTGTAGCTTTCAGCAGGGAATCAAAACGTTTTGAAGTCAAATTACAGAACTTCTGAACAGGTCTGGCTTTTTGCTCCTTCTAAAACTAAGCACCCACAACAAAACTACTAGAAATCCTACTTCAGAGGCAACTACATCTCTTCCCCCTACACCCTACCCCCAATGTTTCTCTCTTCAGTTTTTTAGGAATGTTCCTTTTACAAACAGACAAATGTGCCAGGTGACTGCTCAGCCCTTAGCCTACATTCAGGCTTTTCCACAGCTTTTATTTTGTTATAGCGCATATCTCTGAATCAATTTCCAGGAATCCCTTTCTTAATCATTCCCCAGCAATGGACCTACAGGCCACAAAACAAAATCCCACTGTACCCCAACTAGGAACCATCTTTTCTTTTGCCACTAACAGTTGGTAACGTTTCACAAAAGTGAACAACAACCTGAGGATTTTTAGTGTTTCCTGAACAATAACTGGGTTCTGCCTGAGTATTCTGACCAAGAACCCTTGGATTATCTCCAAAGCATGATTACAGTAGACTGGATTTGGACCCATATTTGTGCTCTTTACAATTGAGTATAGCCCATCGCAACAGAAGCAGCAATGTTTATTTACTACTAAGCCTGTTCTTTAATTCACTTTATAGTACCCTCAGCTATAACTGTTGAAGAGGTGCATTACTGTAAAAACTGCATTTCCAGAACCATGGAATGTGAAAGACGTATGCCATCAAAACACACACCTTCTATTTTTCTCCAGTGGTACTGTAAACAACTAATAAATCTTCATCAGTCAAAAAGAAATCATGTTGTGACAGGCACTACGTTAGCTCCCATACCATCAACATATTATAACCTCCACTTAGCTCAATGACCAAAATTTTATATAAATTAATATAAATATAAGAATATACTGACTGCATAAAAATAGCTGTGCACATTTTAAAGAAGCCTCTCATATTAAAAGAAGCAAACTGAAAACACAAAACACTTGGCCTTCTGTGGTAAGGTCATGCTAGCTCACTTGAAGTAGTTTGCTCTGTTTAAAGCTTTTTACCTCATCATCAGATGTTAAGTGTTGAACTGAAGTTTCGTTTGGGCTTTGGGATAACTTTATTTCTGGCTGTACATCTGGATGGACAGAGGAATCCCAGAAGCTGCACTCAGATGCCTGCTTTGTCCAGTCAAGTGCATCCCAAACTATTAACTCACCCACGTGAGAACCTGTCACAAAAGTCAAGTCTGGGGAAGGGGAGGAAGCGGAAAAGGAACAACACACAGAAATCATGTGATATAAAAAAAAGTCTATTTCACACAAAGTTACAACCCTAGAAAGTCAAGAGAGACCATTTTTGAGTGAAGCTATGTAGAATGTGCAGTATGTAACTGACTGGACAAAAACCTCTCCCTTTGAGCACTCAGATAGTCATTTGATTACCTAGCATAGCACAGATGAGCAAAAGGAGATGAGTGCGCTCATGGAAAATTAAAACTAGCACTGGTCACAGCACACAGTACAGTATAGCAAAGGCAAGGAACACCACCAGAAGTATATACAAGTATTTGAAGTTCATTTGTTGCCTACATAAAAGACCCTTCTAGTCCTTGGACAAGTAGGTATATCAAGCACCCGTCAGACACAGCAAAGTATGTCTTTGCCATAAACTGAAATACTGATCACAAATTAAATGGAGGAGTTAATGGCAAGACTGAAGTAGCTGGTCATGAATTTGTTAATCACACATGGAAAGGAACTGCTACAACAATACAAGTAGCATATGCGCAGGTAGCATATTGTCTTTTTAAGCCCAATATTATCTCCCCTTCATAATCAAAAAGGAGAAAATAATGGCAACAGGAAAACCCAGAAGCTACCATCAAATACAAATTTTCTTCTTTCCAGCTTCTCATTACCTCTGTACCACAGCCCCTTTGTGCCAACCAGGCTGCCACAAATAAGCCCAAGGACAAATACACACTATCACACTAGGAATAACTTTTCCTGGGCTCTGGGGGTGCTCCATAAAAAAAAAAAGGAAGAAGAAATTATAAGGCATTAATACCTGTAGCAGAATAGACAGAATTTCAGGTAATAGCTCACTATTGCCTTTATGAGCAGCAGAGACTGCATCATCTTCCGTAACCTCTAAATAACGCATCTACATGCAGGCCCACATCCGCAGACCCAGAACTTTCAGTTACCTTGGGACTACAGTTGCAAAGGACGTGGCATTGTATAATCCATTTTAAGAATCAGAAGGAACAAGAAAAAAAGAGCATTTTAAACTTTCACAACAGGAAGAAGACCCAGGGTTCCATTCCCATCAATGACATTGCCTCTTTTGTGCCTTTTCTATATCATAACCTGCCTGGTTTCATTTCACTATTAATCCGTAAATAAGGCCATTATATTCTCACATTTCACTACCTTTGCAGCTACAAAGGAAGGTAAATCTACTAGTTATGAAGTTTCACTCCAGTTAAGTTTGGTCCCAATAAAAACTCCATAGTTGAAATATCCCACTGGTAACTAACAAACCCAGTAATATTATAAAACAACTCTTACCATTGACACTAACTAATGACAGAATGTTATCCTGGTGGTCAACAAGGCGTTTTACTTCAAGGACATTCCAACCTTCAGGCCCACCATTAGAAGCAATCAACCTAAAAATGACTTCAAAGATAGAGAGAGAAATTGTCTAAATAAGCTTTATAATTAGCTATGCTTCAATAAAACACATCATTTTCAGAAAGACACAAACTAAAACATACTGTAAGTGAGAGAGTACAAGATGTGCAAAGCCACTTATGACCACTTCTAACACCAAAAAAAGAGGGGAATAAATTATTTCAGCGTTATTATTAAGGCCTCTTACTACAGCAGCTGTAGGATAAAACATTTCAGCCTAGTAACTCTGAGGTTCAGAGAATCAGTCAACATCAGAAGTTGCAAAAAGCAGAAGTGAAAAGCATCAGACATCTTTATGGTTAAGTAAACTAAAAGTGGAACATCTTTCTTAAGGGCTCATTGGAAAACTATTATTCAAAAGGATGCAATATTCTGTAGTTAAGGGAATCAGGATCACCAGAAATTAAAACTTTATTTTAACCAGTCTTGGAATTTCTTTTATGGTATCTCAACAGCACTACAAAAGAAATATGGGAAGTTCAAATGGAAGTTTACACTGAATACCAATGCCTAAAGACAAGAAGACTATTTTTTATTTGCTCCTGATTCTTTGATCAGAATATCAGATTGCTATTTTTCAGCTAAGTGTTTAATCATATTGACTGAAGTCTGTTGTTTTGCTGATTCAGTGCTCTACTTTCTCTGGGGTTTTTTTCCATGTTTTGAAATTTCAGTAGTTTTACAAAACACTCTTACTTAAAAGACTCCACCAGCAGTTAGCCAATGATTTACAGTTTGTATACATAGAAAACCCTGACTCCAAGTGAGCACAGTGTCTCATTACAGCTTTGCACAGTATAATGAGATCAGCAACGTCTCATACTCCTGATCTTGGGATAAGGAGGCTCTAGAGAAGCCTAGTATCTGACAGCTTAGATAATGAATTCCAGACCCTCTCCAGAAAGACAAACATACATCACCCAATCAGATCTGGACAGGTAGTAGTAACAGTAATAACCACAACAAAGAACATTGAAAAGTTTTGTCATGCAGATCTCAACAAAATTCCTGAATAAGATTAGTATTGTCTGCCTCTATCAAATAAGGAACAAAGGAAGAAAGTTGTTAATCACACCCTAATACCTTCTACTTTTCCTATACAACTCCAGGAGCATGTTCTTTACACAGATCTCTGATAAGCAGCTGTTATACAGGAAAATGAATGTTTAACACAAATGCAACATACTCACTTAGCTCTTTGCCAACAGCTGCCGCAACACAATTTTTAGGCAATTCAACCAAAGCATTGATACCTTTGAAAAAATACAGGAGACAAGGGAGAAAAGGATATTCATTGGCCATGAGAAAACACAGCAAACTGTTAATTCCTTACTAATAAAATTCTTCATAATCTTCCTTCCACTCATAAGTTCTTATCAAAATAAAAGCATATTGCCTGAAGCGCAAGTTAAACAGCATTGGAAGTGAACAGATTTCCTCAGATGGAGGTAGAGTGAGAAATTTTGGTCCTGAATCCAGCAGAATTTTGAACATCAAACAAGGTGAAGCTGAGAATCAATACCCCTTTTATTTTAAATACAGTTATGATTTTTATGCCCTAATGCTGGTCAATATTAAGGATGCTGTGGTAATTATCGAGACTCTAAAGTTACTAGATACCAATAATACCACAGTATGCATAATACTAAATATTGTGCAGAGCCAGCTGAAGACAAATGGGGCGCAAGATAAAATGTCCAGCTTGCTGTTACTCTGCCTTCACAAGGCCAGGTTGGACGGGGCTCTGAGCAACCTGATCTAGTTAGTGGTGTCCCTGCTCCTGCAGGGGGGTTGGACTAGATGACCTCTAGGGGTCCCTTCCAACTCAAAACATTCTATGATTCTATGATTCATCCCGCACAGAATTCATCCAGTCTGTGCTGCCACACCATTAAAGGAAAATTCCCAAGGAACAAGCAATCTGTCTCTTTCCCCAGAAAGGAAGCAAGAGATAAGGAGGGAAGAGAAGGCCCATGCTGCACATCCCATTGACCCCTTGTGCAAAAGTTTCAATAGCACCTCACATTAAGAACTACAGCACCACTTTCAACTGGTATTTGGCACAATATTTCGTATTGAACTAAAAGAAATATTAATATCCTCAGAGATTCAGAAGGGTTTGCCTACAAGTACTCCATTCTATGACAAAAATAAGGAAAATATTGGTTCCAACTTTGAATTTGATTCACAGCTCCATAGGTATCTTCATAAAGTATGGCAATAATATGCAACAATTTTCTTTGCATGGACAGATAATATATAAGCTTATTAATAGAAAAGTATGATTGACAATAAGACCTGAGTACATTTATTGTATTTCTATCAAAACCTGCATTTTCTACATCAAAAGTACTGATTCTTAATAATAGAATGAAATCTTTACTGCTTTTCTGCTACAAAGCAGAATAATACAACTCCCACTCGTTCACAGGCAAAGCCAGCCAAAGGATCTGCAAACATGTATAAATCGGCACCCAAGGTCTTGGCCTATAAGTCCAAGCTAATATACAGTTACTGAGATTTGACATGTTCTAAAATTCACACAGCACAGGAGATAAAAAGCAGTCTTAATTCTGAAACGATTAAGTCTGACATTTAAAAAAATAGAGAGTGGCTCTAATATATAATGTTATCATTAGAATTAAAGAGAATTGGCCAAGTTGGTTTTGCATCATTATACAGCTCCATTTTACTTGCACTTTAACAGCTATAATGAGTCATTTACATTTTTACCTGCATCAGTAAGATGACTGGTCTTACACAAGAGATCTAATTTGCGGTTCCAAACACATAGATCACTCCCTCCAGACAACCATACATCCAGCCTTTGAAGAACTGTCAAACACTGCAGAACAAAAATCAGATATATGTCCCCCGCAAAAGTTCTACAGGGAATTTCTCAGTGAAATGATCATGAGCTTTAGCGAGATAAAGCTGTAAGTACTATGAAATACAGTAGTAAGGTGTTACTTTCCTGACAAATACAGATTTAATTACATACTGTATGTTATGTTTTTCCATCAACAATGCAAAAACCGATTTTTCAGTAATTTTTTCCTACTACTAACATTCAAGAACTAGTTTGACTATAAGCTGACTCTTCCAACATACTAACAAAACCAAGCCATAAAATGACCTTTGTTCTACATCCTTTCAAAAAGAAGACTGAGGTAGTTAGAGTTCCAAAAACAAATTAAGAATTGTGCCCACTTCTCAGGCACTTATTATGTACGTGTTCTTAAACCAAACACTGATGTTCATTTTAACAGATCTGCTCACATGACCCATGAGCCACACACAATAGATTATTCTATACAACAAAACAATAGACATACCTAGGGTTTCCTCAGCTTACCTTTACAGTAGAATGGAAACATGACACTTTTTGAACCTGCCTGCCATTACTGCAGTCCCAAACCTGACTTTATTCATTAAGGAAACTGAAAGATTTTTATATGTTACAACTGTTGTGTTTGTAACTAAATCACAGGTGGGGAAATAGGTATGCAGAGACTCAGTCTTCTAAATCCTGATTTTCTTTTCAATATTTGGCCAAAATGACATATTAATAAAGGTCTGTTATAGATTCATTTTTGTAGCAAGGACTGCATCTACTTGTGAGCAATAACAAGTAAAATCCTAGAGTAATCCAGTTATACCTGCTGGATATTTCCAGCCAATATATTTAAACAACCCGCAGCCTGTCTCTATGCTACCTTTTGAAGTAAAAACCAACAAAAAGCCCATAGAAATTTGAATCCTCTCCAGATATAAGGATACAATAACTGTTCTATCAGCTGATGCTGTTAAAATCAAATGCTTTTTTTCTTCCAAAGCATCTGATGAAGAAAACGGTGCTATAGCTGTAATTTTGTGTGTATGTCCATGAAGTTCAAAAAGTTTTTCTCCAGTCTGAAAAATAAAGACATGGAAAACTAAGGGTAAAATTTGAAAAATGCCTACTGTAGCATATGACATAGGTACTAAATGACTTTTGACAGCAAAAATTTCTGAGTCTAAAGTCTTCCTTTCTAAAGTAATTTATGCATTTACTTCTTACTACTTTCAAACCTTTTCAAGATCTTACCCATAATTAAACAACATATTAAGTGTAAAGGAGTAGTACATAATAAAAAGTACTCTAAGGGTAAAAAAAAAAAAAAAACAAACCAAAAAAACCCCACAAAACCACAACACACCTCTAAAAGCCCTTAAGAACTAAGTTCTGTATTAAATTAGTTTAGTTTGAATGCAAGTATTGGGCATTCACCCTTTTAAACTGATACTACAATAATTCAGATTTGTTGACAAACCCTCCCTTGAAAAAGTAATTTTTTTTTTATTTTCACAATTAGAAAAACTTCACCTACATTTATGGAAAACACAGTACTGTCAATTTCCTGACAGCTCTATTTAGTATGTACATTATCTATAGCTTCAAGCTGGTGACTTAGGTAACTGCAGCTACTTCTGCTCCGTTAGTTAGATGTCAAAGCCCTACAAACAAACATGCAGAAACATACTGGCATTTTAAACATGCAATTAAAATACAGGGTAGTTGTGACTGTAAACTTCTTTACACTTACGGGTTAAGTTTTTAAAATGTGAAAGATTTGCTTTGACAAAAACATAATAAAAATCCTACAGAAATAAAAAATGAAACTCAGTTCCTAAGCTGGATATCTAAATGAGTTTTACATTCACAAAACTGCTCACAACACTAAGTATATATACTCGCATACATGGTTTTGAATATTCAAAACCAATTTCCTTTTCAAATTATAGAAGTATAAAAGGCCTTCAACAAAGTGCTAACTGAAACTGTTCAAAAGAAAGGGAAAGTTTCAAGTTCCCCCCTCCGTATTTAATGTTACACCATCATAAATGTCACACATTTTTCAGAAGGTTTCTAAAAAAGTTTACAGTCTGAGGTTTCTTTCTTCCTTAATTTGAATGTTGGATACTCACAGTTTAGACTGCACAGTATGTCTCCCTTTTAGACTTTCTATTGAACTTGTATACTAGCCCTTCCCTACCACTAGTCTAATGCTCATGCCTTCTCTCTAATTCTGTCAATGATAGGAAGACACAGAGAAGAGCAGAACAGTGGGTATCACACTTACACAGCACTATTTCCATGATAAATCTAATGTCCTAGTAAGGTTTTCAAGCTATAAGATTTTTATCACAGCAAGCAATTAAGGCCTTGTTTCAGCACTGCATGAAGTGTTTAACTTCCACTGACTTGGGTGCCTTTCCAATAGTTCTGTGTTAGCTCTCCATTTAGTCTAATCAGTTATACTACAAACAGTTATTGCTAATAGAGTCACTGAAGTGTACTTAAAACTTGAGCATATATATATATAGACAGATCTTGGCAGGATTGGGATGTTGCTATATAGTTGTTGAGTCAACATTCCAGTGTTTACAGCAAACATTTTAAAAGAAGAATTAAAGCCGTAAGTTCATATACACTTCTGCTTTTCACTATTTCGTCATTTCATCTCAAATCTCTCTAAAATCACTGTGTCTTCCCAATACACTCCGGCTTTTAAATTTATTGTTCTCTTGGGTTCACACAACTTTTACTTTCTTAGCACTCCTTTGTAAACTAAGATTTGACAGATTCCCTCCACTTCTACTTTTTCAAACAGTAGCTCTGCAGCAATTCTTATTTGTTCTGCTTTTTTGCTACTGACATTTCTAACTCCTCTCCCCAACTTCTACCCTCTCCAGTGCACACAAGCTACTCCCCCAAAAAAGAGCTAACCTGAGCATTCCACAGAAATATGATTCCATCATCTCCTGCAGATGCAAACCTGAAAAGAAAAAAAGAAAAAAGCTGTGAAAACATCAATATAGCATAACGTAATGGAAAAGCAGTAAGTAGTTATGTACGCAAAATATTTACAAGAGATAGCAGACTCTGGCTTTAAAGAATAAACATGTATTCATAAATCCCAATTACAACTTATAAACTGAAGTCAGTACATTTAAATAGGTGTTTATCAACACATATTTAATATAAGAACAAGGCTTAAGAATTCCAATACATACTATTATAAATAGAATCCCACATTACAGGAGCAATTACGTTATTTAAAAATGAGATCTCACACACCAGGTAACAGCGAACTCTAAAACCAAATTACTATAGTCAGAGCCAACTGACTGCAATACATCCAAAAAGTTACAAACCACTTACCTGAGTTCAGCCCAGTATTTATCACGGTATTTTAAACTGTGGCTTAAAAGAACTCCCAAAGGGAGTGCATTTAAGGTGCTAAATTTGATTTCTGCTAAAAATCCAGCTGGAAGGCATACCATGAGGAAAAAACAGGTTCATATTAACATGTTAATCTCACATTAACAAAGTCTGACATAAATTCAACCTTTTTCCCTAGGCTAGAGTGAGTATTTAACCATCCACCTAGATTTGCACCTTATCACCACCACAGCTACACTGTTGCCAGAGCACACACCCCAGCTATCCCAGTAAAGGCGTACTATGAGTTGAGAAAGCCTAGAACAGAAGCAACACCTTCCATAGAAAATTGAATTCTGTTGTTACTTGCAAATATACCTATCTTCTACTTTTTTCCTTTTGTTTTAAGCCTTCACCAAGAGTTAAACAGTTAATATTTAGAGAACTAATTAAGAGTTGCAGTGTGTACAAGAAACTCATGAAGAGAGGTTATATCACTTCTGAATTTTTTTTTTCCTGTTACTAGCTGTGAATAGTTTCATTAACTATATAGATGTCCTTTCTTTTAGACACTCTGCAATTACATTTGTGCAACTTGCTAACTGAATAAATTTTCAGGCATAAAGCCATAGGATTTTTCCCCCTCTCTCTTCCACATATCCTCCTGTTTTATTTTATTATAGTTCAAAAAAGTGTAAGCTGTACTTTCTTCATATCTTTTATTATTTTACATCCAATCAAGCACCTTCTTTAAAAAGATAAGAGCAAAAATGAATCTTCCATGCACACATCCGATAAGATTCATTTCTTATGTTGTCTTTTAGCTCTCTTATACCTTGTTTTGTCACGTCAACAACTTAAAATAGTAAGACTCTCACAATTCAGCAATAACTCTTTAAATTCCAGTTCCTTTCTTGAGTAATATTGGAGCTGTGTTCCACCTGAACAAAATTCTGGAAAGAAAACTGGTGTTTGAAAGAAGACATGAGTGTAATTCATAAGCACAGAAGCTCAACAGAGTGCTGTTTTGTGTATTTTCCTCTTTATCTTCTAACCAGGACTTCTGTTTAAATATAAAGGTATATTGCAGACTCAGTTATCCTGCAGTTACATCATGTTCACCAAGGTGGAGATTCATGGGGCACCCAATTCTTTTCCAGACTTGATCACCATCATCTCTAACCTTGCTTGTTTCCTGAAGGAGCAAGGAATGGTCAAATGAGGAACAAAAAAAGCTATTCTTAAAATGTGTTACGAACTCTGTTTAGTTTAATGTGTCAAATGCTAGAGTATTACATGCAATTTTATCTCAGCCCTTT